TCGATTAAGTTGGGTGCTAGGGATTTTAGCAGACCGGTTTTTTAGCAGAATCAGAACAATTATAAAGTGTGATGGCTAACTTCAAACGCGGCATCCGCTGCGCTTCAATTCAACACGAGTGTTATTGTGCGCGTAACTCTTTGTTCTGCCGCAAATTTAGACTGTTGTCTGGGGAGGGTTCTCATGCTTGAAGGACCGAATGCTTGAAAAATTTCAACCAATCAAAATCGCTAAGCGTTTCTATTGGCTTAATGCCTTTCTTACAAAATCGAAGTCAATATTAACAGATTGGTCTGCTAAACGATCGGCCCCCACTAAGTTGGAGTGAGTTTCGATGTGTTGGATTGATACTTTCTTTGTTGAAATCGATCGATTTTTCGGTGCTTTCATTTTGCAAAACACTTCCATCGTCATAGAATTTTTCAATACTTAACCCGCTTTCAAGTTGGTTTGTAGCAGAACTTTGTTGGCGATATATAATTGCATCATCGTCGAATTGTGCAACGGGTAAAAACTGCTGTTCACTTGTTTTTACGCTGCGTTGTCGGCCAATTTTTTGTCGGCTGTTTGAATGCTCGCTTCGAAGCATTTTGGGCTTTTAGTTTGGACGCCAGCGTTTTTGCTGTGAATTCTCGCAATATGTTTAGGAATTCGGGGAGGGTTCTCATGCTTGAAGGACCGAATGCTTGAAAAATTTCAGCCAATCAAATTCGCTAAGCGTTTATATTGGCTAAATGCCTTTCTCACAAAATTGTCAAAAAGTCAATATTAGCAGAAAATGTATTAAATCAGTGGAAAAAAAATCAAAAATCTTAAAAATTGCGGGTTACAACCGCAATACTATTCGGATAATCATCAAGATAAATGAGGACAAAATTATAGGAATTTTTCAGTCTTGAAAACTTATCTGCTGATTATCTAATCGGTTAATATTATTACTAACGCCCTGATTTATTTTCTTAATTTGAGATTTTCGCGATTTACTTTGAGATTTTGAATACTCAATTCTGATTGGCTGAAAGTAAGCTAAAATTAATTTCAAGCATTCGGTCCTTCAAGCATGAGGGACGCCACCTCGGAATTCCATTGCTGTTCGAATCGTCATTATAGCGATTCTGATTTTCGTCAATCTGGTTGTGGTGATGATTTTTTGATTCGGAAGCTGAAAAATCTGGTTTGGATTGCAAACTTCGAAATAGTTTCGAGTCATTTTCAAACTCGTTTCGACGTGATTTGTCGTAAGAACTAACAGGTTTCTCGGTTTCATTCAATTTTGGTTTTTCTTTCTCTTATGCAGGAGGATTTTTGTTTGAGTATCTATTAGGTGATGGTGACTTTGAACGTTGATTGTGGTTTAAACTACGACTAAAATTGTTTAGATTCCTGTCATGGTTTCCAATTGGTGTTTCGGGTGGATAAGATTTCCGCTCGTATGTTTTGGTCAGTGTTCTCTTTTGAAATGGAGAGTGATTATCTCCTAATATAGCACCTTCTTTTTCGCTCAAGTGTTTGTCCCTATCGTAGAGGTTTTCGATTTCAAGTCGACCCATTGAGATGTTAGGGCTCTGATGGCAAGCTGTCTGTTGGGTTCTCGTTTCGAATAGGGGTTTTCGGTCCTAAAAACATTTTTACGGATAAAAGTTGTTAAGACATTCAGACATAATAATTGAAATTATACTTCGTAACAAGCGACGAAAAAAAAGAATATTTTTTGCTTGTGATTGAAGCTTTTAAAACTTTCTTGGTCGCTATTTAGGTTTTTCTTCCAAAAGCTAAATTTTTGAAAGTGTTCCATGATAGTGTGAAGTTAAAAACGTTTGAAAATAGGGGCGAATCTAGGATTTTCTCTCGAGGGACGGATTTTCATAAAATTTTCGAAAATTTTGTCGACCTTTTTTTTAGGTTTTCACGACCAAATTGATTTTCTGAGCTCTCCCAAATCACAATGAAGACACCATTTTGACCAACGTTTTTGCGCCGCAGGCAAATTTTTGAAAAAACAGGCCGACAAAAGGCGTTTTAGGCACTTTTTTTTGAAAATTTTGACAAAAATTCGCGTTTTTTGGCGTGCGCCCCCAATCAAAATTAGCATTTTGGCGCCAAAGGCGCCTTTAGAAAAACTTTTGGGTAAATCAGCCAAAGAGAGATATCTCAAAATAGTACAAAGGGGGAACCCTTAGGGTCGGCATGGTGTCGAATCCCTAAGGGGGGGGGGGTGTCCGCCCTCCCCCCGAAATCCGCCCCTGTTTGAAAATATCGTTCAAGGTTTTCATTGGAAGATTGGCAGCAAATCTGATGTGGAAAAATGGGGAGAAAGCAATACGACAAAATTGAGTTAAAATTATCTTTAAAAATGTAACGAAAAATTTGAAAAATCATATTAGTAAAGACGAAATTGAATATAAAATTTTCAAAACACTTTTTAACTGGTAGCGAAAAAAGCTTTTCAGCCTCATAACTTTGAAAAAATTGTTTAGGAATATTTGCAAAATTGATATAAAATGAGACAGAAAATCGAATAACGTACCGTGAAGTCTTCGGTGCTTCTGAACAACTTCTCCTCCCCCTCTCACTGACTGGACCCAAATGTTCCCTCAAACACTCCTGAACACGTTTTCAGTTCTTCGCGTCTTGGCACTTTTCCTAGAGGTCAGACTTGTTGGATATCTGTTCCCGTTTTGCATGATCGCAGGCGCACTGTCTTCTTTATATGCAAACAGATGTCCTGTGCGTTGCTCCATTTCGCTTATTTTCGTGCTGCTATCTAAAAAAGCTTCATTTTTTGAACAGCTTTTAACTAACTATCTAACAATGGAAATAGTTTTCACAAAAAAGTCAATACCTCTATTTCGTGCCAGTATGTAATTTTCAATTTTAAGGCCACATTTTGTGAAATGAAGTTTTTTTTTACTTCATTTTAAGCTGATGCTATGCGCATTTGATGGCATTTTTCGTATAAATTTTTTAAATTTATTATATATTGAGGGCTTCACTATCTCGCCATATTTAAGTTTATTCAACGTATTATTTTTCCATGTTTAAGAAAAGAATTTTTTCAGGTTTAAGCTATATTGTATATTGAAATGGTTAAGATTTTTTTTTCGATTTTCCTGTTTGAATTCAAGTGTTTATTTCACCAAGTTTGAAAATAGCAACCCAATAGTAGGATGATGTCAGGAAGGATTTACCTAGGTGTTGACGAGATACGACAATTTTCGAGATTTTTCAAAAAAAATCTAGAAAACTTAAATTAAAAATAATTTCGCAAAATTTGATATTCTCAGCCCTGTAGTTGGGTGCTGTCAGCGTACTCTCAGGGGTTGCAAATCTTGCCTCCAAATGTGACGGCTCCAATCCTTGTAGTTCTCGAGATATGACGTTTTTTTTTATCGTTTTTTCAAAAAATTTTACAGAAAACTTAAACTGAATTTTTTTTAAATTTAAAATTTCTAACCCTGTAGTCGGGGGAGTACTCTCAGAGGTTGCGAATCTCTCGTTAAAATATGACTGCTCAAATGTTTTTTTTTTGAGGTATGACGTTTTTTATGGTTTTTCAAAAAGTGTCTTCTGGGTTCAAAAAAGTATAAAGGTTCTCAAAATTTGAAATTCCCAACGCTGTAGTGGGGTACTGTGAGAGTACTCTCAGAAGTTACCAGTTTTGCATTGCGTTTTTCATTTGCTTTTACTTTCCGAGATGTGGCTTTTTTGATGTCATTTTAAAATGTTTCAAAAATTTTCACAGAATTTTATGGTTTTTCAAAGTTTAAGTAAAAAGTTTTACAAAATTTGAAATTACCTTTCCTGTAATTGGGTGCTGTCAGTGTACACTCAAAGAAGGCAGATTTTTTTCCCAATATCTGCGATTTTTTTAAATAATTTGTTAAAAACTCGAAGCGTCGGCGGTGCGTTACACGCTAGTGGTATTTATGTTTTTTAGCAGTCAGTGATGTTAGCTATTTCTTAGAGAATTGGGAATGTAACTGCTTTACACGCCTTATGCGTCAAAGCGTTTTAACAAAAACCACACAGAGTTGTCTCCAGAAGCTTGTTGGATTGTCTGTGGCCGAATGGGTTTCAATCCCAAGTTGATGACACTTGCTTCGCTATTATGGGCGCATATGCATATTCTACACAAGCTCAGAGCTCAACTTGGCTTCGAGAAAGCTGCAAAAACTGCATTTAACAATTTAGCAAAGTCTCAAATTTTGAAGATGCAAATCCTGTGGTTGGAAACTTTGACGGTACTCTCAGGCGTTGCGAATTTTTCCTCAGAATATGAGTGCTCGAAATTTTTTTAGTTTTCAATATATGGCTTTTTTCATGGTTTTTTTTTTGAATTAGACAATTTCAATTTCTCAAAATTTGAAGTTTCCAACTATGTAGTTGGGTACTGTGTGTACTCTCAGAAGTTGGAAATATTGCGTACAAATGCGACTATTCAATTGCTCTAATTTTCCGAGATGTGACGTTTTTCTATCATTTAAAAAGTTTTCCACGAACTTAGCTATAAAAAAATTCACAAAATTTGTATTGTTTTTTAAAATTTGAATTAAGAAAACTGGAATAAGTTTACAACATTTGAAATTACCGACCCTGTTATTGGGTTCTGTTTGAGTTGTCATAAATTTGATGCACCGGAGGTGCGTTACACGTTAGTATGTATGATAACCTTAGGTTTTCTTGCTTTTTGGATTCGTTATTTTCGCGCTCTGATTCTGCTTTTTTCTATTCTCAAAAGCAACCGACCCGAAACTGTGATTTCAATCTTTTGTTCTACAGCTAGACGGAAGTACTTGGTATATAGTAACGGTGCATACAGTCAAAAAGGTTTATCGTTGGTGCAGTATCGTTCCTGACAAAATGTAATCGAACTAATTGTCGATTTTCAGAAGAATTTGGTTTTATTTTTTTTTGTTGATAACAGAATTTGCAATTTTTTGTTACGCTTGTCAAGAATTATCAACTCAAAAACAAAAAATCTGGACTTTCATTTCAGATAAAGCAAATAAAAAATGAACAGATTGAAGAGAATGAAAGCTCTCTTGATTGACTTAAATGGCACTATACACATTGAGGATACCTCGACACCAAACGCCATTGAAGCGGTCACTCTTCTGAAGCAGGCGGAAGTGCCTTTCCTTTTTGTGTCAAATACAAGTAAGGAGAGCAGGCAAGGCATTCTTAATCGTCTGTACCGAGTCGGGTTCGACAAAAAGACAATCGTATTAGATCAAATTTTTACGTCACTCACAGCTGCCAAAAACTACGTCGAGCAAAACGACGTTAAGTTATTCCCTCTCGTTTCTGATTCGTCATTGACAGAAATACCTACAGAATTAGTTCACAAACAAAAAGATTTCACACAGAAATCAGTTTTGGTCGGCCTTGCTCCTGACTCGTTCACGTTTGAAAATATGAATTATTCTTTTCGTCTTCTGACCAATCATGGCGCCGAATTAATTGCCATGAACAAAGGCAGATACCACAAAACTTCAAGTGGACTATCATTAGGCCCTGGGCCATTTGTCGAAGCTTTAGAATTTGCTTCGGGTACAAAAGCAACTGTAATTGGTAAGCCGTCGCTTAGTTTTTTCAACCAGGCGTCTAAAATACTTGGCGTTCAATTAGCCAATTGTGTAATGGTTGGAGATGATGCTAGAGACGACGTTTGCGGAGCTTTGGAGGCCGGAGTTGGCTTTGGTGTCCTAGTTAGAAGTGGAAAGTTTTTACATGGCGATGAAAGTTTCCTGAAAGATTTTGATGATGATTCGTATTGTGTAGCAGACAATTTCGCCGAATTCGTAAACTTATATCTTTCTCAAATAGAGTGATATAGCAATTAAGGTTTAATTAATTAATTCAATTATCGTGTCTGATGTTTTGAGCTATCTGATTTTTCTTGAAATGTAAAAACTTTCTTATTTTTAAAGTGAAATAGAATGTAGGAGCGGTTGCTCTATCTAAAAAAGAACTCGAAAAACTCATTTTTTCACTTGCAAAAGCAAGTGTTTTGTAATCAGGAGCTAGACTTTTTCCCCGTAAACAACTATTAGAAACAAAAATGAAAAAAAAAACTATTCCGGGTAAAACTATTTCGGGCAAGTTTAATTGCTTTTAATTTTGCCGAGTAGTTTGGCTATTAATTGCTTAGTTTTTATTGCGCATCCACTTTTTTCGGATGTCTGAATGCAAGTATAGAATAACGGATAAGAATTATTGTGGATGAGATTTATTGATGGATAAGATGGACAAGGTTTCAGTTTTTAATGAAATTCTGTTTATTTCATCTTCAAGCTTGCCTGCATCGCCGCGTCAAGTTTTCGGCTTGTTTTGACCAAATAGTTGGTACCGCATGGTGAAGTTCCAACAAAAGCCAATTTTTGCTGGGTCGTGCGTGGGCAATCTTCATTTGGTAGACCTTTTTGTTGCTGCCGATCCTAAAATTTGTCTAAAGCTCCCTTTGCGCCAATTATTACTAATTTGAAGAGTAGAAAGCGCGCCAAAAAACACGATTTTTTTGGGTCGAAACCCTCCAAAGTCTTAAAACGTCTTTTTTGCCTGTTTTTTTTCTTCAAAGTTTCGCCTGCGGAGCAAACAATTTGGTCGGAATAGGGTCTATATCATGATTTGGGAGAGCTTGGAAAACAATTATTATCGACCTAAAAAAAAAGGGTCGACATTTTCATATAAGTCCGCCGTCCCTCGAGAAAATCCTATATCCGCCTCTGCATATGTCGCTTTTAATTTCATTGTGTCCGAGTTTTTCCATGCCGGTTCTAAAATAGCCTTTAGTCTTTCTGTTACAACTTTGCTCATAAAACTTGCCTGAGAAATATTCCGAAATTTTATGTCCCGACTGACTCTTGTCTAGTCGGCTTAAGTAATTATTATCGACCTAAAAAAGGGTCGACATTTTCATATAAGTCCGCCGTCCCTCGAAAAAGTCCTAGATCCGCCCCTGCATTTGTTGCTTTTAATTTCATTGTGTCCGAGTTTTTCCATGCCGGTTCTAAAATAGTCTTTGGTCTTTCTGTTACAACTTCGCTAATAAAACGACCGTGAGAAATGTTCCGAAATTTTATGTCCCGACTGACTCTTGTCGAGTCGGCTTAAGTTTTTCGACTTGATTTTTTTTCGCGTCAGTTTCGTTATCTGGAAGTAATAACAGTGTTGTAATCGATTCTTGCGCGTATACTTGTTGTCATAAAAGTATAGCGATTGATTGCAGTGTGTACTTCTCAGTTTTGGATTTTTGGTAGGTTTTTGGTTCGTAATTTAAAAATCTTACTTGACGATAACTAAGCTTTGCCTGAAACCCTGCATGCTGGTATCAATAAGTTGATATTTTTTTCTGCAGTCAGTTTTAGTTTGAAAAAGTTCGGTTTCGTTTCTGTGTTATATTATGTGTCAATACGTGTACGCTCCAATGATTTTAATCCTAGTGGTCATGCACGGTATGGTACCCTGATACATTTAAACTTTTCCAACGAAAGAATATTTCTACGCACAATAGTCAAATTCTCTTCTATCCACGCAAGTTTGTCCACTCTGTATGGTTTTTTAGAATCTTTGATTCCATTCATAGCTTTTTGGATTTAGCAAGCTAATTGAAACGTGCAAAATTTTCGCAAACAATGCATTTCTTTCTGCTTCCTGACGTCTAGTTTAATTTTCTTGACTGGATTTTTTCGGCATCATTTTCGGCATCATTTTTCGGCATCCCGACTTGGTTTTATCGTAATTAGATCTAAACATGTTCAGAAGCTGTTCGACTTTCAGCCAAAAAAATGTTCTGTTTTATGTAAAGTTATGATACTACGCTAATTCATTAAAACTTTTTGCGAGGATTTTTTTTCGACTGCTTCGTTTCAGAAGAATTTCTATCAATTAATTTACTATGCTACAAATTTTGTTTTGTTGTGGACTATGTTGTATAATCTTTTTGCCGTTTCTCAACAGTTTTTTTGGCTTTCAAATATATTCAATTTTCATTTCTAAACTGTTTTACACTTGAAGTTGTTTTGTTCGAACTTTTTGTCATATTCCTTCTTGCATTTTTATGCAGCGTTCTTCAGTTTGTTCATATGAAATTGCAGATTTTGTAAAACTTGGATTATATACGGTTTGAGTTAATATTTCCGAATTTAGGTTAGCTTATTGTACTGCGAGAGCAAATGTCGTGTAAATAGGAAATAGACGTGTTTTTTTCCGTAAACAACTGTTCTTACAAACTTTTCTTCTTTATTCTTTTCTTCTCTTCTCTTAACATCATCCAGCTTCCTTCCTGCTTAGCCTATGGGCTAACTTTGTTGCCTCTACTCTCTAAACTCTGGATTCGAATCTCGATCGGACCTTGTTTTTTCATCATGTATGCAATTGAAAACTTTTTTTTTCGGTTTTAGCCTAGATTGAGTTTTAACACCATAAAAAGACTGATGCTCCCTACTTTATCTGTGTAAAATTTCTGCGACAAACGCTGATAGTGATTTCTCTTAACATTTTCTAATATTTGTTTCACCTTGCCTGCTTTTGGCGCAACTTTTACTTCACTTGCGAGAGCTTTTCCAAATTAACTTTTTTCCAAATTAACTCTCATATAAAATTACTCCTTTGGTGTCACTTTTGCCGTAAGCAGGATCTTGAGCATTGAAAATTTCATAAGTGTTCTCTGCTCTATCGTATGTTCTCTGCTTTTTTGTAGCTAGTGATTGCCGATGGGTAAGCGACCGTGGCACACTTTTAGGGATGGGAGACTCCAAATCTACGGGCGGGGTTCAACGCCGCACTTAGCATTAGTTTTTTTTAAAATTTGGTGGCATTTTTGCTTCATAGCATTGGCAATTTATTCGAATCTATACCTGCATCATTGGTGGCTAGCTTAAGCTAAATTTCACCAGTCTCTGGTGCAGATGCGAGAATGTCAGACACAATTACTAGTTCGAAGGTTCGAAGCTAACATAAATCAAAATCTTGCTTCAAATTACGACTACTCAAACGCTCTTAGTTTCCGAGATCTGACGTTTGTTATATCTGTCTACCCGTCTCCTAACTTTTTAACTTTCATCTATCTATCTATTATATATTTAAATGCGAGCGTCACTATCTCGCCATGTATAGGCTTTTTCAACGTATTATTTTTGCATATTTAACGAAAGAATCTTTTCACCTTTAAGCTATATCGTAAGTTTTTTTCGATTTTCCAGCTTAAATTCAGTATTTATTTCATCAAGTTTGAAATTAGCAACCTAATTGTGGGATGTTGTCAGAGTTTTCTGGTCTCCATATATGAATAACCAAATCCTTTTAGTTTACAAGATATGCAATTTTCGAGATTTTTCAAAAATTTAACTTAAAATTTTTTTTCTTTTTTTGAAATTTTCACCCTGTAGGTGGTTGCTTTCAGGGTACTCTCAGGGGTTGCGAATGTTGCCTCCAAATATGACTGCTCAAGTCCCTGTAGTTTTCGAGATATGGCGTTTTTTTGTGATTTTTCAAAATTTTTCAAAAAAAAATATTTAAGAAATTCCCAAATTTGTAGCAGAGTACTGTGAGGGTACTCTCAGGAGTTCCAATTTGCAAATCTTGTGTCCAAATGCGACTACTTAAATTCTCCAAGTTTCTGAGATGTGACATTTGTTATGTCTTTTTAACAAATTGTTCAAAGAACTTAGATATCCTAAATACATAAAATTTGAAGTTTCTATAGTCAGGCTCTGTCAGGGTGCTCCCAGGGATTGCAAATTTTGTCTCCAAATATGGCAGCTTAATTCCTTGACTGCTTATATCGTATTTTGCAATGGTGATTTTTTTTCGATTTTCTAGTTTGAATTCAGTGTTGATTTCACCAATTTTAAAGTTAGCTACGCAATAATGGCTTTGCTGTCAGGATTCCTGCAGAAGTTGCGAATTTGGCCTCTTATTATGAATCTCTTAGTTTACGAGATACGACGATTTGTCCCAAAAAAATTCAGAGAATTTAAATTTGAAAAAGTTCTCGAAGTTCGATATTAGCAACGCTGATGCCTAGTGCTGTCAGAGTACTCTCAGGGGTTGCAAATTTTGCCTCTAAATTTTGCACATTTTGCACGTTTTTAGTGATTTCTTCAATAATGTTTCAGAAAACGTAAAGTTGAAATTTTTTCAAATTTTGGTTACCTAACTCTGTAGTTGAGGGCTGTCAGAGTACTCTCAGGAGTTGCAAATTTTAACTTCAAATATGACTGCTCAAGTGTTTGTGGTTATCGAGATATGACGTTTGTTGTGATTTTTTCAAAACTTTTTCAGAAAACGTAAATTTTTTATTTTTTTCTATCAAGTTGGTTTCCTAATCCTGTAATTGGGGGCTGTCAGAGTACTATCAGGGGTTGCAAATCTTGCCTCTAAGTATGGCTGCTCAAATTTTTGTAGTTTTTGAGATAAGACGCTGTTTATGGTTTCTTCCTAATCTTTTTTCAGAAAAAACGTACATTTGGAGTTTCTCCAAATCTGAAATTCCCAACGCTTTAGCTGTCTACTGTGAGATTACTCTCGGGAGTTGCAAATCTTTCGTCCAAATGCGATTGCTCAATTGCTTTCAGTTTCCGAGATGTGAAGTTTTTTTGTCATGATAAAATTTTATACAGAATTTAGATATGAAAACTTCAAAAATTTTTGTGGTTTTTCAAAATCTGAATTAAAAAAGATTGAATAAAAAAACTTAATAAAATTTAAAATAACCAACCCTGTAATTGGGTGCTGTCAGAGTACACTCAAGGATGGAGATCTTGTTTCCAGTATATGCTGTTTTTATGAGTTGTCGAAAGTTCAAAGCACCGGAGGTGAGTTAAACGCTAGTTGCTTTTAAGAGCTTCAATTAATTTGAAAAGAATTCTCTATTGCCCGGTCTGATTCAGATGATTATTGTCGCTTTTACTGGTAGTTATGGTTGAGCGATGTATCATACAATTTTCCTTTCAATCGTCGCTCTCTGGGTTGTCTCAATAAATTTATTGCCTGTTTTTTTGAGTTTTCGCAGATTTTTTTTTAAAGATTACACTTCTTTTTGGGCCCAATTTTAGCCCTCAAGTTCACTGGAATTTCTTGATGCTATAAGGCTCTGCCTTTGAATCTAAAATACGGACAATTGAACAAGTGAAATGATACCGTTTAACCTCAAGTTAATGAACTGATTTCTTTTTAGTTTACAATGATTAATAATTGAAGTTGAAAACAAACCATTTAAGTCCTCAAGTTACTTAAATGTCTATCATTGAAATTATTTAGGCGTGGAACAGTTGGTATTTTCTTTGCTACATTCTTTCAAATAAAAATTACGTCAACTTTTCGAAACGTGAGCAACATGAAACTGCTGTTTGATCAGACTTGTGCAAATTATACCGAAAGCTGTTTTACAAATGGACCAAAGTTCATTTAACCATTAAGTTTACAATGGTTCAATATGACAAATTTTACGTTGCTTCTAAATTCTTATTTTGTTTGCTGTCCAAATAAAAACATTGACCTTACTGTCATAATTTAATGTGATGAAACTGAAACTATTATTTTAATACTGGATCATCCGTTTTATGCGAAAACAACGAAACAGCTGCGTTATTTATTTCGTTATTTGGGAACTGCAAAATGGGTTGCCTGGGCTCCTGTAAAAGCAAGCTTAAAAAGCTAAAGCTTCTCCTTTGGAAAAACTCTCTCATCGAAAGACGAAGAGTAAGTGTTTTATACCGAAAGCGAACATTCAACAGTGTTCCTATTTTAGCCACTTCTGCTCTGTAAAAGAACTGAAGATATCCTCGTGGACTAAAATAAACTCAGGTTCCTGCTCTCTGAAGGCCCTGTTTCTGGCGAATTGTTCAGAGTGCAATTACTATGATGCAAATTGTTACATCTACCGAGAGTAAATGATCTGAGGTGTGCCCCCCCCCCCCCTGAAAGTATGAATATTTGGTTTGAAGAACGTTCCAATTTTTTTTTCTGTATTTAAAGATCCAGTTTGTTCGAATATCCTCTATACCATTTCTAAACGGCCTGAAATTGTAAACAGCAGAGTTTTAAGGAAAAGTCACGCTGATCAATTTGATTTTTGCTGGATTTTCACGTCACCTGAGCAATTTTTTATACTTCGGTGATTCAAAAAAGAATTTACGCCGATGGGAAACTTTACTAGAGGACAGAAATTAGCGCAAATTCACGTTTTTACGTTTGCTTAAAATTTTCTTTGAAATTGGGTATTTTGGAGAATGAAAAACCTGAATTTGCGTTTTATTTTGTCTTTTAGTGTATGGTAGGTATTAGCGTATTTTGACGCCTTACCTCGGAATCAATTTAGATTCATTTCAGAAGAGCGCTGGATATATAAACAAAATACGGCAGCTAGAGCATTTGGCGCAAGGAGGATGCTTCATAATCCAGCAAGTTTGAGTCGACAATTGTTGTCATTTTCAAACCGTATTTGTGTAGGTATTTTTTACGATAAACCCGAATAAAGAATACTTTGTCGGAATCGGAATATTTTCTTACGCTTAATCGGAATAAAGACTTTTTGACGGGTTAGCCACTAGTTTGTCGGTTTAGTTTTCGAATTATGTGCTCCGTTTTGCCGAATTATGCGCTGCCTATAAAGCTATCGTGAATCTTATGTTGTCGTAACATGCATTTTTTGCCGAAAATTTTCGGTTGTTTCAGCTTATTGGCTGTCGGCTTTTTGGCTGCTTAATTGCCTTTTTTTCCTAAAAATGACCCCTAGATCTTTTGGTTTCAATTTTTTGACTGCTCAAAGTCAAAATCAACCACATTGGAACATCGTTGAGAAACTGTAAAAAATCTTTAAAATACATTTTTTTTTTCGTTTTTCTAGTTCCTTTTTCAATTGTAACATCGCTCGAATTTTTTTTTGCTACAGTGTTTATCGTTATGATGCTTTCATATTAAAATTGTACATCTCAAGTGGTGCGAAGCGCAGTTTCGCCTCTGCGTTGAAATACAAGACCTTTTTGTCAAATTTTGTGTGTTGGCGACCTGTAGCGTCGCTTCTGTGTCAATTGTTTAATTCCAGAAATTCTGCATTTGTCAATTTTTAAACAAATATTTTCATGATTTAAATAGCCGTAAATTCGTTTTGTATCTTTTTGTACTGTTTACTACCTCCATTTCTGCGTGACCAACATTAATTAATACTGTTTTTAGCGCCTACCTGCACTAAATTTGAGGCGAGTGTGCGCTGGAGAGATGCAGCGAAAGTTTTTAGTTTTGCAAAGGATTCAAAAGTGATTTTCATCCAAAGTGATTTTCATCCTGAGATGCGGAGGCTATTTCTTAATAGAGGTAATCTTGGGTTTTAGCAGAACTCTAGTACTTAAACATGTTTGGCTTGAAAAAATATCGACAAATTTTTGAAGAAGTTGATGCGAAGAAGCTCAGTCTTTTGAAGAATTTTTGAACAAGCTCAGTCTATAGCATCCCGTTGAATTGAATTGTTAATAATTTTTTGATTGTGAGAGCGAAATAAACTTGTTATTGACTGTTTTTAGGCACACATGGCAAGCTTCGTTTCGAAGTTTTTGTTGCTCTTTTTAATTCATCATTCTTCTTGTATATTAAATGATTGACCTCATTTTAACATAAAGCCTGAAGTTTAAGGTGCTATCGATCTCTACCTTTTAACATCATAGATCATAACGTCAAAGAATCATTCACGTCCAAGAATCACCATCGAATAGTCTAAATTCTGGAATATTCTAGAAATTTTTCGAAAAAATCCGAAATTCTTCAAAGAAATTGATATCGAACTTCAAAAGTCAAACGAAGTTACTTAACCTAAAACTGCTCTTTTCGACGTCGGATTTTAGCTTCTTACTGATTTCCACGCGTAAAAACCATATCCAAAAAAACTTATTAACCTATAAGCTGTAGTTTTTGACATAAAATTGTTCAAGGTAACCAATTTTGCCAACAGTTAGGCATTAAATATAGATTATTCATTTCAGACTGCAATGAATCTGTAAACTTAAAAAAATATGACAAAAAGTGGGTTGGCGTTGTTAAGCCTTGAAGTTCAAGATCATTTTCTTTGAAGAGTTTTGGACTTTTTCAAAAAGGTTTCTAGAATTTTCCAGACTTCTAGAATTTTCCAGAGTATTCGATGGTAGCTCTGAATGATTCTTAGACGTTCTAATCTAACCAGTTTAAAACGTTGTGATCGATAGCCCCTTAAATATTAGGCTTTATGCAAAATTATGTCATTTAGTTAATATTAAAAGAAGATAAATTTTCTGGAAATGGTGGAAATCAGTGAGAAGCTAAAATTCGACGTCGAAAAGAGCAGTGTTAAGTTATTTCATTTCGTTCAGATTCGTTGACCGAAAAGATATTGCCAACACTTCGGCATTAATTATGGAAACACTAACCTCCATGCTAAAAAAACGTACTTTCATTGAAGCTATTCGCTTTATGACATAACCTGAAATATTTCATATTTTCATCGCTTTAAAAGCTTGCTTAGAAAACCTTAAGCTTTTCATGAACCGTTTCGGTCTCTAAATTAACTTCTTATTCTTTCAAAGTTTCATAGCTTGCTTAGAAAAACTAAACTTTGCGAACCGATTCGATCTATAACATAACTTGACATATTTCAAAGTTTCGTTGCTTGAATTTATTGCTTAGAAAAACTTAAATTTTTGCAAACCGATTAGCGCTATGGAATAATTTGAATTATTTCAACGTTTCATCGCTCAAATAGCTTAATCAGATTTTTGTTTCATTTTTCGTGATACTATTCAGTCTATGAATTAACTTGAAATAATTCAAAGTTTCTTAGCTTGAAAAGCTTGCTTAAGGAAAGCTTGATTTCGCGCGGATCATTTTGCTTGATGAAACAGCTTGAAAGTTTTCAGATTTCAGTGCTTTAATAGCTTGCTAAAAAAACTTATAACCTTTTTGCGAACCAATTTGGTCTCAGAAAAACGTTGATTTATATCGAAGTTTCCTTGCTTGAACAGCTTGCATAAGAAATTTCTAATTCTTTGCGAACTGATTCCGTCTCTGAGATGACTTGATTTCATCGCTTAAATGGCTTCAATAGACAAAGTAAAATAATTTTGCCAACCGACTCGCTTTATGACATAATTTGACATATTAAAAGTTTCATAGCTTCAGCAGCTTGCTTGAAACTTGAACTTGTTGGGAAACAATTAGCTCCAAAAAACAGTTCAACGTTTTTCAAAGGTTTGATACCGAATTAGCTTGCTTAAGAAAAACATACTTTTTGCCGACGATTCGCTCTATGAAAAAAGCTTCAGAACAACTTACGTATTTCGCGAACTGATTTCGTCTATGCAATAATTTGAAATATTCCAAAGTTTCATCACTTGAATGACTTTAATAGAAAAAGTTCAATTTTTAGCCATCCGATTTGCTTCATGAAATATTTTGAAATCTAACAAAGTTTTGTTGAAATCGCTTGATTCACTTGGTTAACTAAAACTTTGTAAAATTTTTTTCGCAAACGTCTCCTTCCATGAAATAATTCAAAATGCTTCAAATTTTTATAGCTTCAATAGCTTGCTTAGGAACAATTTCAAAATTTTGCCAACGATTGGCAAGTTTTCATCGCTTGAATAGCTGGCATCAGAAAACTGATTAGCTGGCACAAAATGATTCGGTCTATGAAACAACTTGAAAATTTTCAAAATTTCATTGCTGCTTGACTTCAGTTGGTAAACTGAAAATTTTGCGAACCGAGACGTTTCCTGAAATACTGCATGTTTCTATAGCTTCAGTAGTCTGCTTAAGGACAACTTGAGCTTTTCGCGAACTGATTTGGTCTGAAATAACTTGAAATGCTTCAAAATTACGAAGCTTTAAAATCTTGCTTAAAAAAGCTGAATTTTTTGCAAACTGATTTGATCTGTGAAACAAATGAAAAATTTCGAAGTTGAAAATCTTGCATACAAAAATGGTAACTTTAAGCTAAACAATTCTTTCTAAAGTTACTTAAAATTTTAAGTACTTAAAAGTTACTTAAAGTTTCATAGTTTGAAAAGCTGCTAAAGAAAAACTTTATTTTGCGCGAATCGATTGCTTTATGAGATAAATTGAAATAATTCAATTTTTTGTTGCTGGATTCTCTTGATTGGAAAAATCGAAACTTAAATTCCTTTAGGAGTCATAGCTTAAATTTCCCGCGAACCGATTCATTTTTGAAATTGAAAAATTGTCAAACATATTTACATGGTTTAACTAGAATTTGTCCGAGGTTTTATTACTTGAAGAGCTTAATCAAAACAAAAACGAACCACAAACAAAAACGAACGTTTAGCGATTTGATCGATTATTGGAGACAGGCTTGCTAGTCATGTTTAAATAGTCTGCATTTTTATTAAGGTGATCTTAAAGAAATAGCACGTCATTTATGCCTCAGAATCCGCACAATTATTGCGCATTGTTACAGTGGGTTGCGCGTGCGTTGACCGAATCGAAATCAAATTTTTGGTTTCCTTTGAAAACAACTCATAGTTTGGCCATGGTAGCATTTTTTGCTCGGTCATTTAGTTTTTACCCTTCCAATTACCAGGGGTATTACAACCAGGGTACTAGACTTTTTCTTCTTCAAATTTGTTCACTGGATGACTAAGATTAGGGCTATTTTCGAATTCAGATGATTTTTGCTTCTCTATTTGATTCCTTAATTCAGTGGTACTGTATCTGAAGCTGAAATTGCAAAAACTTTTTCAGAAGAAAATTGATTTTCTTTTCAGCTGTTTGGATTTGATCCCTATTTTCGTCGGTGAACTTGTCGTGAGCTTTATTTAAAAAATGTTTTTCAAAAAAGTTTTTTTGCTATTTTTCAAGTCAAATTTTGAGCAGCGGAATAACAATGGTTGGTTTTTGGCTTTTCGTTTTTGTTTTATAAACATTAATTTTATTTTTTTCCGTTATAAAGAAACAAATTTGAAATAGAAGTCAATTTTTGGCTGCATGTCTTCTGATTAATTTGTTTTTGTCATAGTCTGCTTCGAGTCATTTTCTAGCACCATAGCATTTGATTGTAATTTTCCTTGTAAACTGATTCAATGTAATGGTACTTCAAATTTTTTGAAATGTCGCTGTAACTGTTGAAAAAATCCAAGTCCTATCGAAAATATATATATATTTTTTCAGTTTTGATCTGACAGTGTTTTGTCTCTAAAGGAATGTGGCGAGTATCGCATGGGAATCAAGGGTGTGGTTATTTCTTGTTGAAAAATTGTGACTTGTGCAATTAGCAAGCGTCATCAAATCGGAACGAGTTTTTTTCATGCTGACAATTTGTTTGACAGAATCAGTCAATCATTTGATAGCCTGCTTTTTTACACTAACAGCTAGCGAACGTAGTGTCATATTTCGAACTGTATATTTTTTCCCAACCAAGCTCGCAAATGAAAGTGCTCTTTTGGTGACACTTTTGCTTTATTTCTTGATTGACAACTTGTTTAACAAATTCAGTGAATTATTTGTTACTTGGCTTTGTTACACAAGCCCGCGAGCGACCGTAGTGTCATAATTCGGTTTCTACTTTTTTCCCAACCTATTTCGCAAATGAAAGAGCTCTTTTGGATCGCACTTTTTGCTTCAATTCATAGCATCGGCAATTTAATAGCATCGGTAGCTGCTCTATTGTTGACTAGTGTAAGTAAGTTTTCGAGTTACCGTGGCGCAGATGCGAGGAGGGTGCCTAATCTGTATCTCGGAGTTTCAATTCCGGCAGATAGCAATGGTATCCCTCTTGTCGGGTGGTATTTTTGCTGCATAGAATGGGCTATTTAATAGCATGTAGAGCTGCTTTACTGGTGGCAGTGTTAATTTAATTCCAAGTTCACGTGGTTGCAGATGTAGGACTTGAGGCTCCAAATTCTCACGTCTGGTGTTCGATTCTAATACGAGACAAAATCAAATTTTTTCTCGTTTTTTTTATTTCACTTTTTTCATGTAAGAGTTACTTTTTGCCGTTTTATTGTTCGTGTTCGCGAGTTTAGTCCACCTCTGTGTAATAAGTTCAAATCCAATTACTGTTTTGCAATATTTAGCTTAGAGTGAATGCCTTTTCGACTACGAAAGACGATGGCATTGTAGCCGAGTTTGGGCAAAACCTGTTTTTTTTCCGCATAGGAAATTTTCTGCTATTTGCGCTCTTACAATTCCATTATCAGACTATCTTTTATCAACCTACTTGTCGGTTTAGTTCCGGCAGCACGCACTTCTCTTGAATGATGAGCTTTTTTATGATTTGTTATATTATATCTAGCATTGATATTGGTTCAGGTAACTCGGATAGTTTTGGGTAATTTTATTTGGGCGTTCAAAAAATTCGGAATCGGTTACTTTTGTTTCAGTTTTTTTTCGACTCCATGCAATGTATGTTGTGTATATCGCATACTATCAAAATCAGACTCAATATTGATCCAAAAATGGTTTGTGGCTTTTAATTTGCTTGAGGACACATTTCAAGAATTTGCGACGGAATAATTAATCCCAGTTATCTTGTTTGGTTGTATTTATTTTAGTATCGTAAAACAACTCAGTCATAAAAGTTGAAGAAATGAAATTGAAGATCTATATGTGGATCTAAATTGACCTAGAAACATGTTATTTTTTTTATATATATATTATTTTGTATATATGTATATATTATTTTTTTTGGTATGTATATGTTCCTGATCCATTTTCGAACTGTCTGAAGGCTGCGTTTTTGATGTTCTGATTGAAGTGTTTTAAATGACCAATTGAAGTTGTGTTTTTTAACTCGTTTCTCGGCTTGAACATGCAAAATGAAATATTGCTTCTGAAAGATAATTGTTGTCACAACGTTTCTCTCTACACTTGCCTTTTCAACTACCCCTTTTGTTCAAAACAAAACCAAAATGTATATAAACGCATAATGGGGAAGAAGTTTGTATTCATGTGTGTTTTAGTTTTTTTGTTTACCACGCAAAATCAGGTTCCCCAAATAATCATCGTCTTGATTTTTTTTTTTGATTTTTTGTCTAATTTCGAGCGAGCAGGCTTGTTATAGAAAGATAGTCGCAGACTAGTAGTAAATCAGCCAATAATTTTCTATTCAAGCCCTAAAAAGATTTGTGAAATTAGTTTCCAAAGTTTTTTTAGCGTCATTTTGGTAATAAAATTTACAATATTTCTGCAAATTTTTTTAAGTCGGTCTATCATTTATCTGTTCGTTGCTTGTCGGCTGAGTTAGTTGAAGCTATTTTTGGTCTATATGAAAGTCGTTGCAATTTGTTTTATAATGGTACAGGAGTCAATTGTGTTTCTTTTTTGCCATAAGCAAACAGTCTACGGAGCTTCACATCAAAATTCTATTTAACTAATGATGCTAGTTCATTGCAAATTTTGGGGAAAAAACTGATTTTTTCTCTTTTTCACAATTAATTCCTTTGTCAATATTGACGTATTTTTGATGAACATGAAATCGGCCGTGGACTTTGGAAAGAATATGAAAAAATTTTTTACGTGTCTTTGAATGAAGAGAAGATAATCATTTACGTCGTCTGTTTTTTTGCAGTTTTTTATTTGTCCCGGTTCAAGTTTTGCTACTCGGGTTTCGTCTTTTGTTTTCTTGTTGGCTTCAATTGAAATTGTGTTCTGAAAATGGTTTCAATTAAAATAGGTGACCTTAATTTTTTTAACCACCAGTCCAATTGATCCCAGTGTGAGTCGCAAATTTCATTGCACAGTTTTCTGCAAACTTCTTTGCATTAATTAAACACCATAGGCTGTAACTACTTGAGCAAAAAGCATTCAATGGCAGTGTTGAATTTATTACTAGCAAAATAGTTAAAAAGTGTTGGTGGTCTAGTGGTAAAGGCCTTGCCTAAGAAGCAGCAGGTATTGAAAACTACCCTCCTCTATCGGAAGTTGTTGTTCAAGCAAGAAAATGTATGTTCTTTTTTGTTAAACCTTGATGACTGATTTCAGCCTCTGGTAATCTTGTTGGAGTTCATTCTGCCGGTGATCATTCCTTCAATTCTGGTGATTGTCCGATCATCAATATCTGTGACTGACTACCCTGACAGCACCGAGTATGAAGAGTTCCCCCTATCATTGGCTGCTTTTGTTCCATGGTTCATAGGCAGGGATTGTCACAATTAAATAGCAAGTCGTATAGCATTAAGAAAGAGACAAAAAATCTATCTCTTCGACCAATTTTTCAAAAAGATTAAAGTAGCGTCAGATTTGAGACTTGGAGAGGGCAGAAAACGGAATCTTGTTATCCACCAAGCGTCCTGGGATCAACATAAATAGATTTATAGTTGTGTGTGTGTGTGTGTGTGTGTGTGTGTGTGTGTGTGTGTGTGTGTGTGTGTGGGGGGGGGTGTCGGCTTACTATAAATTTATTTGCAGAATTGTTTTGTTCTACTGTGCCTGCAAAAGCATATGCGATTTGATATAAAGCACTGGTATTTGCCTTTTTGAAGACTTGGTTGAAATTGTATTAGTTTTGACTTCCTCGAGGTATTTAGTTATCGATTTTAAAAGTTCAGCCATTTGATTTGACGATCCCTTATGATAGGTTCGGTTTCTTCTCCGTTCCCGCCAACTGACGGCAATGGTTCCAACTTCAATTGCGACGCATTTCTTGCGCAATTCAATCTATCTAGCGCTAAAATTGCTTATGTCCCCGGAAACGATGATCTTGCAACAACTTATGCTAAGGGTGTCGTGGAAAGCTTGCCCTGTATTCTTGATGGTATAATACCTTACGACGACGAAACAACTATGGAAAACGATTTGTCTTTCAACGACACTTCTATGGACGGAATTCTATGTGCAATTGTTTTTGACAAGTTGCAAAACTCCTCGACAAGTTACAAAATTAGGTTCCCTTTCTCTCTAAGGTTGAACTCTGGGCTAGAAGACTGGGAAACGAATATTCTTTACCCGCAACAGACCCCAAACGGTCCTAGGAACCCTTTTGGCGCTGGAGCGACAAAAAATATTTCGAATTACTCTGAATCAGCGAACAACAGTCCGTTCAAATTTTTAACCTCGGAAGACTTTCGTGACTCTGAAATGTATTTAGACAGGTCTGTGCGTGATTTGAGTCAAGGCTTCTCTGTTCCGGAAGTGATCAATTTGAATTCTTTCGGTGGCTGGCCCAGCTACTTTCTGGAAGGTTTTTTGCCAGTTCAAGCAGCGCTGGATCTTTCAATCATGACTCATTGGGGAGTTAAAGACGCAGAGAAAATAGAGATCTTCTCGCGACGCTTCCCTTTTCCTCCATACATTAGTGACAACTTTGTTACCATCCTCGAAAGTTTTCTACCTCAGCTTTTTCTCTTATGTTTTGTCTTCATGACGTTCAATATTGTGAAAAGTCTGGTAGTCGAGAAGGAAAAAAGGTAAAATGTTGCATCTATATATATATATTTATATAACACTTTATTTGTCTTGATATTTTTGCAATTCTTCTTAGCAATTTTTCTTTTTTCATTTAAAAGCATTCTGATTTTTGCTATGGTATTTTATAACTGTGTACACAATTTAGTATACATTCCAGGCAATGTGATTGATCTTTATAAAGATGCACAATGTCATCTTAGCATGTTTTATCTACAAAAGGGTTATGTTTTTTTCCTAAAAAATGAACTCTAAGTTTTTTTACGAAGGCTTAAATAAAAAATTTTAAATGCCCATCTTCTTACCACTAAGTTGAATACAAACCAGGGAGGGTTGGGCTGGGGGCCGAAGCCCTCTCCCCTCAGGGATTCGACCCCTGCCGACCCAAAGGCTCCCAACTTAGTGCTATTTTGAGATATCTATAATTGGTGACGGACCCTAAAAATTTTCCATGGGCGTCGTCGGCGCTGATATATACTAATTTTGAGGGGGCGGGGGGAGGGGAGTGCGCCAAAAATGCGATTTTTGTTCAAAATTTTTAAAAAGTGCCTACAAACGTCTTTTTCGGCCTCTTTCGCAAAATTTTGCCTGCGACGCAGAATATTTGACCAAAACAGGGTATTTTTAGTTCTCTGGGGGCTCTGCAGTTGATGCAGTTTACTCTCTCCAATAAGAAATCTATTGACAATAATTTAACTTTGTTTTCAGGCTGAAGGAGTCGATGAAGATCATGGGTCTGGAGAACTACTTACACTGGACTGCGTGGTGTGTCCACTTCTCCCTCTTCACTCTGGCTGTGGTCTGTCTCACTGTCATCTTCCTCTGTGCCAAAATGAGCGAGTACAAGGTCAGCCCAATCACTTTTATTCACAACCTATATTCTGTGAAGTGAAAATATAGGAGTTAATTTTCGAGAAAACATGCCTATATACGAACAGAGAAGGTAACCTCTTTCTTGACGAAAAAGTTGAATTAAAGTCAAACATAAATTTAGAGGAGATAGTTGAAAGGCAGCTGCTGAGCTCTAAGATTAAAAAAGAAACAAAAATATAGGAGAGGAAAAGCTTAACGCCAAATTGCTTCTATCAATATAATTTTCAATTTGATGGGTTTCATCCATGCTGTTGTCAATGTCTAGATCATATACCAATTGAACTGGTAGATTGAGATACCGATTAAAAAAACATTAAAATAATGGAATTTTTTTTATCGATTTTATATAATTTTTTAGAAATCAAAAAATTAGACGACTGAATTATGGACGCTTTACTTAAATGAGTTTTCCTATTTTTGAGTAGTGTGTTATTTTTACTCAAATTGTTAACTTACACGAAATGTGAGCTTGTGAACGTACTGTTGTACGGTCTGTCAACTTTTTTTCCCTACCAAAATACATTTTAATACAAAGTTTTTGTGCACATTTCATCGAACAAAAAATTTTTAATGGAAGTTTTTCTATTTGAAGATACTAACGCGTCCTAAGCTCAAATTAAAAAAGTATTTCCCATACTACTCTTTTTCTAAAAGTTTTAGCATTTCTTTGATTTTTTTTTTTCAATTTACTGGACTAAATTATGCGCGTATTTATGCATTTATCTATGATGCTCTTATGCTGCTCTAATGCTTTGTTCTGTTCTAATGCTTATTCTATATAGCAATTTTCTAACATGTGTTTTGTCCGCTTTGTTATACGTCAAAACAGTTTTGTTGAAAAATTTTCAGAGCCACTAAAAAGCTTTGCATAACCCATCACTTATGTTATAATATGAGGATACTTTTTCTAACTAAGCTTGCATAAATTAAAGCTCAATGAAGAAGCTTAATTTCAATTTCAATATTTTAGTACTGCTCTAATGATATTTCTGTTAAGCAATTTTTCAGCTCGTGGTGTTATATACGTTTTGTTGGTGACTGGTGTTTGAAAAACAGTCAGGTGGTGTGGCGCAGTCGTGAAGACATAAGTCTCGAATTTTGCGGACTAGGGGTTCGAATATTGTGCGCGGAGATTTTTTTTATTTTATGTCAAATCATGTTTTAATTTTTTTTGATTTTTGATTTTTTTTCAAGCTGTCTTTTGCCTTATTTTGCTTGTGTTTGCGAAGTGCAGCTTTGTCTCTGTTTATCTTTTTGGCGATACTGAAAACGTTTGCTGTAAACCCTTATGAGCGGGGCCTTCGCAGCAAATTAATCGGATCAGGCAGACAGATCCTGAAAGCCAGAAGGATTTGCATGGTTTTTTAAACTCGATTTACGTTTTCAAAATAGTTTTTTTTAGCTTCGATTTTAGGGGAGAATATTTAAAAATTAAACTGCAATGAAATATGTTTTCTGCCAGTTTTTGATTTCCAAGGAACTAGACTGACTATGTTCAATCAATTTTAAGGGGTTAACGGGAGGAAGGGTCTTTAAATGGTTTGGAGAGTACGGTAAAAATAAATTTGGTCAACCAAAATAAAAGGTCGACGATATTTTCTTAAATTTTTGAAAACCTCATCACCTGCCTTATGTGCAGCGAACCTTTTATCTGTTGTTGCTTAGCCTTTAAAAGAACGATATGGGAAATACCTGGATGCTATGATAATGCTTTGAATAAATTCGAAAACCTACTATTGCGGAGAATTGATGCATATGCACTCATCTCAGACTCAGAAATAATTTGACAAATTTTAATCTCTGTTTTTTTTTGTTTCCTTATTCAGTTCATCAAAAACTTAGCAAGAAAAAATTCGTAAAAATCAATACTCATTTTGAAGAAATCAAGTTTTTTTTTAAAGAAAACTGGTGACCCTTGCGATAAGCAAGGGTAATGCAATCGGGTACTCGACTTTTTTCCCCGTGAACAACTTTGTCTAAAGGACTCATCTCCTGGACTCATTAATCTCCTGGTCTCTGTTGGAAGCTGTAACTGACATATTTTGAGCATGCTAGCAGTTAAAATATCCGTCCTAATCAAAATTTGCTTTTTAGGCTGGTAGTAACTTTACCAACTTGTTTTTTTTATTTCATTTTTTTACCTTTTCTTTTTATTCAGTTTAATAAATTTCGGTCTATATCGGCTTATGCCCTGATATCGAGTCACTTAATGAGCGAAAATTTTTTAGTGTGAGTGTGTGTTTTTAAAATCAGTTTTGAAGTCTTTTTAAAATTTCACTTTTTTTCTTTTTCCCGGTTTAATAAGTTTCGATCTATATTATATCGGTTTATTGGCCTCGTATTGCGCCGTTTGTTGAGCGAAAAATGTTTTTGTGTGCGTGTGTGTATTGAAGGGGATGAGGCTTTAACAGTTTTTCAATAGTTTTTAAGTCTTTTTTAAAGTTTCTTTTTTTTGTTAAATAAGTTTCGGTCTATTTTATATCGGCTTATTGGTCTGATATTGCGTCATTGATGAGCGAAAAACGTTTTTGTGTGCTTGTGTTTGTTGTGAAGGGGATGGGGTTTTATCAACTTTTTAGTTCTTATTTAAGTCTTTTTTAAAGTTTCATTTTGCTTGTTCTTTTTTTCGGTTTATAAAGTTTCGGCCTATATTATATCGGCTTAGTGGCGTGTATTGCTTCGTTTGATGAGCGAAAATTTTTTGTGTGCGTGTGTGTTTTGAGGGGGATGGGGCTTTAACAACTTTTTGTTAGTTTTTGTCTTTTGTGAAATGTTTTCGGCTTAAAGGGTTTATTTTCAGGTTTTTTTTCGGTTTTTTTATAGCTTGGTTAGTTTTTTTCTGATGCTTATTTTATCTTCTATTGTCGCGGTGTTTTTTGAAAATTATTTTTATTAATTTTTATAGGTTTCGGCATTTTTGAAATTTTTTGGATATTTTTTCGATTTGGCGGCTGTTTTGTATTCTATCGCAAGTGGCGCGAAGCTCGGCTTCGCCTCTGTGTTAGAACTTTTTATTTCCTATGTAACCGGCTACTGTTCTCAAATATTGCAGGCTAAAAAAGTTTTTTTTTTGAAATTGGCTTCTGTGAGCTACAACAGTAAAACAGTATTTTGTGTTAGGACACGCTATAATCATAATAATAATTGAACTTTGCAGCAGCAATTATTAGGAAAAGAGAATACTTTTGTGTTGTGTTTAGGTGCTGCCCTATTCGGACTGGTCGGTGGTGTTTGTGTTTGTGCTGCTCTACGGTCTCTCCTCCATGATGTTCTGTTTCTTCCTCTCCACCTGCTTCTCTAAGGCCAACTCGGCAGCTGTAGTCGCCACCCTCCTCTGGTTCCTCTCTTTCCTACCATGGCTCCTCATATCAACCAGGTAAACAAAAAGAGGCTGTTCGCAAGCTAAATTAAACATCCTTAAAGTGTTTCAATGGGAAGAGATGTTGACAAATCGCAAAGTTTCCATTTTCATAAAATGCATATGCATACACCAGGGGGGGGGGGGGGGGGGGGTTTGCGGACGCGCCCCTCAGGGATTCGACCCTCTACCGACCCAAAGGGTCCCCTTTTGTACTATTTGGAGATATACACTTTTGACTGACTGACCCTAAAATTTTTCCAAGATCCGTCTCTGTGTGCATATTTTATCGCTGAAATTTCTTTTTAATGGTATGACGAAAAATTGTGTTCAGAATAGTTACTTTGTTTGCCATATTTTATTCATTTGACTACGTTGTTTTTTTTAAAGATTGAACTGCAAATGTGGTTGGGGCGGCTAAGTTCAGTAAGTGGAAGACCTATGTTAACTTGACGCGTCTAATTTTTTTGTCACTGGAGTTTGCGAAGTGCGACTTGGCTTTTGTGTTTAGCTGTCATTTCAGTTGACTGCTGAGAAATTGACTTATCAATTGAGGATTTCGTCGTTTGTGTTTTCGAATTAATTTTTTTAAGAAATAACTTAATTTTTTTGTTGTTAACTTATTGTTTCTTAATTGGTGTTCTTGTTCTTAGCTATGAGTCACTGTCGGTGGGGTCGAAGATCGTGAGTTGTCTGTTGTGTAATACTGCAATGGGAATAGGCTCCTTCATCATCGGTCAATTTGAGGCCAGTGGTGTGGGTGCCCAGTGGAGCGTGTTGCATCAGCCGGTCAACAGCGATGATAACATATCACTGCTAAGTTAGTCTAGAAGATTTTAAAATCTACTATATCCGAATCAAACGGTTCTTTTTTGCGTAAGATGCTTGTACTAGTACAACCAGACATAATTCGAAGATGTCCTATATTTTACATTTTGTGAGTCAAATTATTGCAAAGGAACAACTGATATTTTTACGCTACCCAAAATTTGTTCTAAAAATTGATGTGCATGGTAATTACCCATTTTTCAATTACATTTAGTGTTTATCTACATTCTTCAATGGTTCACGCACAAACTCTATTTATGTCGGTAGGGGTAAAAGAGTCGATCAAGTTATCGATTTGTTCAAGCTGTTTTTGTTTGAATATTCAATTTGTCTACATTTTTTTAAATTTTAATTGATAAATTGACTTTTCGAGCAGTCCTGAATTATTTATAAGACCCCCCTATTTTGCCACAAAGTTCTGCGATGTGTCTTTTCATTTGGATGGTTTTGACCATACGAAGTTCCGCTTTTTTGGTATCAGTATTAATTAAACTAATTAATAGTGTATTAGTATGACTCTAGTTTTCAAACCTGCCTCGCAAATAAAAGTGCTCATTTGGTGGCACGTTTGCTGAAATCACGATCATTAGCATTGGAAATTTCATAGAATCTGTTGTCAGCTTGATTGGTGGCTAATGTTTGCTCATCGTTAAGCGCCCGTGGCTGAGAGGGAAGTACGTGGGACTCCAATTCTTGGGGGCGATGGTTCTAATTTGGCACAATGCAGAAGTTATACTAATTCGAGGCTTTTTTCCACTTTTTTTCTTCACTTTGTAAAGCTGCTTTTTGTCGTGTTCTCGCTTGTGCGATTAGCGGCTCTTTTCCAACGCCCCCACATATCAACTTCAGTTTTGAAAAACCATTTTAACGTTGTCATAATGCATTGAAACTTGTCGTGGTGAACAATTGTGAACATATTTTTTCTTCACTTTACAGTAATATCATGCGTTTAACAAATAATCATACGTACAGCAACTATTAAAAAAAGAAAACATGAAAGGTGGGGAGTGAAAAAAGAGCCCGAATAGCAATCGTTATCAACTCAGAATATAGATTTCTAAACTAAAAATGTAGTTCACGAAGTTACTGATCCACTTTTGCTGCTATCGTTCTGCATGCTCAATTTATTGAAAAATTAAGTTAAGCTACCGGCTACTAGTTCGAGTAACTACTGATTACCCTTGCGATAAGCAAGGGTATTGCAATGGCGCACTACTAGACTTTTTTTCCCGTAAACAACCTTGTTCACACTTCTAGACGATCTCCTCTTCTAGAGGATCTTCTGGTTTAATTCACTTGCAGGTTATTAATTAATTGCAATTAATTAGCAAATTAATTCAAAAAAGGTCCGTTTTTTTTCGGGTTCGTGGTTTTCGTCCTAGTTTCTGCCTTTTTTATCTGATAGGGTTTTACTGGTTTACTTTTTAAAGCATGGGTTTTGTTCCAATTTAAACAGTTTTTATTTTAACTGAAACTTCACAAATTTTTAAATTTACTTTCTTATCTTCACTTCTCTTCTTACCTTCCCTCAACCTTATTGAGGTTGCTTCCGCTTGGCCTAGAAGTAGCAGTTGTCTTTGTTCTCAAAGGTCTTAGGTTCGAGTCGTGGCCGGATCTTGTTTTTTTTTCAGTATCAAGGCAATTGGAAAAAAAATTCCGAGAAAAATGAATTGTTGGTTTTTCGTTTATTCGCTCAGGTCAGCTAAATTGCCACAACGGCTTTTGCTTGTGCTGTAGACAATTTTCCTTGTAGTTGCAAGTGCAAATGTTGTTCATTCTAATTTCAAGGGGGGCTTGAAAGAGTTTTTAAAAAGAATTCATAAAATCTTTTTTTTTCGTTTCGGTTGGTGTCTGCTCAAAGATGGTCGGCTTAGTTATCACATCACTGGTTTTTTTTGCTGTAAGCTACTTTTTTTTGTAGATTCAAATGCAATTGTTGTTTAAGGTGGGATTTAAAGCAATTTATTTATGAAATCATAATTTTTTCGGCTCAACTTGTGTCTGCGCAAAGATTTTCGGCTTTGTTTCTTCTCTTAAATTTTGTTCCGTTGCTGCTGATTTAAGGTTCAAGTGACTGGAACTTCTTTCGAGACATATGAAAGCTTATATGACCTAGTTTTTTTTCAAAAATTTCCTTTTTCGGCTTTTAATGTTTTTATTCCATGTTAGTGTTGTATCGCGAGTGGCGCGAAGCTCCGCTTCGCCTCTGTTTCGAATATTCAAACTGTTTCAGTTTATGGTATATTGATTGTTCTACTTATTTTTGCGTAATTTTGAAGGCGAAGAGATACCGATTTGGGATTATGTGTTTCAGGGTCGCAAAAAAGTTTTATGAAATTTTTTTACGATAATGTTTGATTTCGGATCAATAGTTTTCGACTCAGAGTTTTTCGCCTTTGTTGCCGCTCGGTAAGTGTTTTTCACTTTTTAAAGGCTTGTTATGAACTTCATTTGATACAAATATGAAGTTTTTGTAGCTGCAGTTTTTACTGTATTGGCGCAGATGCTAAGTCGATTGACGGTTATTTTCAACATTGGGGTTTCGATTCGTGCACAAACCAAAATATTCAAATTAGTTTTCATCTTTTTTTTTACTTTTTCGTTTTTTTTATCCATTAACGGCTAGTTTATGTTGTTTTCACGCTTGTTTGCGCAGTTCAGCCTCGCCTGTGTGTAATTTATTTTGATCAAAATATTTAGGCTTCATGATTTTTATAGTTAAAGGCTGTCTACGTAGTTTGCGAATTGTTCATTTGATTTAAGTGCATGCTTTTATACAATAACGTATATAGGAACATTCCAAGGTTTCGTTTTAGTTTTTTTTTTGTTTAATTTTAAAATTTACTATTTGGTTTTTAGGTACTCAGCTATAAATCTGTCGGCTTAGTTTCTATAGAACTTCAAATTTTACATGTTCTGCCTAGTTTGTAAATTTTGAGGACCCGTTTGTTTGCAAACAGTGGAAAATTTTTCCTTTCAAAACAAATGTCGGTTAATCGTTTGTCTGATCACTTTCTGTCGTTTTAAATGTCACAGCGTGGTTTTCCCTTTATTTAAGTTACCGTTGCTGTTTTTCATCGGCCTTCTCATTTCATATTGCATTGTTTCAAAGGAAATTAATTTTGGATCGTTTAATGTTTCCCGAGAGTGGGAGGCGTATAAGTTTCGATTTCAAAAACATAATAACTCAATGTTGTTCATTATAATTTTTACGTGTTCTGCTCAGCTGGCGTCTTGCCAAGTTGTTTCGACTGAGTTTCCGCTCAACAATTTTTTGTTGTCTTGCTGGTGCCCGTGAGAGGAGTGTTTGGCTTGTTACCCTTGCGATAAGCAAGGGTATTGCAATTGGGTACTAGACTTTTTTTCCCCGTAAACAACTTTGTCCACTTGATTCATCTGGACTTTTGAAACCTTGGTTCATATTGAGTTCAAATTTCTTACTGTTTTTTGCACACTTAGCCTGGGGGTAACGAATATGTCTGGGACCTTTCTCGGGTTCAAGTCTGACTAGGACCTTTTTCAAACGGTAAATCTTCCAGTGCCAGATCTAAGGCTCGTTTTTTTTTGCTGCAAACAGTTTTTACTGCAGCTGCTGTAAGTGCTTTAACATTTTAAATTTCTGGCCGAATCGAAATTTGTTTTTAATACTGGTTGTAACTTTACCAACTCGATCTGTCAATTTTTTTTTTCATTTTTGGTTTTTTTTGTCAGGTTAATAAGTTTCGGCTTAATTTATTTAATTTATATCGACCTAGTGGCCTTTTATTGCTTCGTTCAGGGATCAAACAAAGTTCGTGTGCGTGCCTGTGCTCTGAAGGAAGACCGCTTTTTTATTGACAAAAATGATTTTTTTGATTTTTTTTAAATTTTTTGTTTGATTTTAATCAAATTTGTGTCGCAAGTGGTGTGAAGCTCAGCTTCGCCTCTGTGTAAAAATTTTGAGCTTTAAATGTTTTAAGCTCAACATTTTTTGTGACAACAAATTATTTTCGTCTAACTGACTTCTAACTCAAATTGTTTCTGAACGCTGTTCAAACGCTCAGGATTGTATATCTCGACATTTTTATATCTCGATCTTTCCTGGCAAAAATATGAAGTTTTTGTAGATGTAGTTTTTTCCACGTGTTTTATTCGAATTTTTTAAATCGAAGTAACGGCTTTCTTCTGATTTTCTGTTGAGTTTGCACACATGAGAGTCCGATAAGAACGAATGATTTGTCATATCGAGACCCGCCGGCGGATCAATGTATGTTGAAAAACCAGATAAAAAATTTTTAGGATGATAGGATATGTTGAACAACCGGATATGTTCACGATGTTGAACAACCGAAACAAGAATTAGAACGATAGAAATTAAAAATAAACCAATTTTGATGTTAGATTTAAAAGACCTAAATATAGAATTAGGCGCAAGCATTTAATTGAGACTTGACTATGATTTGAAAATACGAGTCTCAATTAATTTTTTGTGCTGAACTCTATACTTTGGTCTTCTAAATCTTAAACATCCAAATATGTTTCGCCTTAGTTAACACATCCCTATACTTGTTTCGTTTAGAGCAAGAGCACGATTTTGGTACAGTTTTTGAATCAATAGATTGCATAGAGATCATTCCAAATTTTTCTAACCAAACTCTCACATTTTAGTGCTAAGTTTATACGTTAATTAAACAGCTGACTTGATTGTGCTATTTCCTTTTCAAAAAAGCACACTGCGAGACTGATATCTACGAATAAAGCTTGCGTGAAAGTAAGAGTGTCCAAGATCCCTTGAGTTTTAAATAACATTTTCTAGGTCTAACGATCTTTCTCGAAGCATAGTAGGTGCGAGTCAGACGTTAGATGAGAGTTATTTAATCTCATTTCAGGCATTCTTTTGATGCTGATGTTCGACATAGTGCTCTATGGGCTGTTAGCGTGGTACGTTGAGGCAGTGTTTCCTGGTGAGTTCGGCTATCCCCAGAAATTCTACTTTCCCTTCCAGAAGTCCTACTGGTTTGGGTCAGCTGACGAGCAGAATAAAGAGACGACGGAGGCTGAACGGGACTGCTCGGAGGCCTACATTGAGGATGAGCCAAAAGGAACTGAGAAGGGAATTGAAATTGTCGGCTTGAGGAAAGTGTTCGGCGAGAAAGTAAGTGTTCAGTTGAATTTTCAGGTCTTATCCAGTTCCTGACCCTTACATTACATTAAAATTTTTCAGTATAAACAAGTGAACAGTTTAACCTTTGTTTTCATGCAATTCGCCATTAGAATTTTTTTCACGGGAATCGAACCCATGTCAACAGCTTGGAAGGCTGCTATGCTACCACTACACCAACGATGCTTCTTAAGACGTTTTATTAATAATTCAGATTCCCAATTCTAGCTACGTCAGGCTCCAAGTTCTAACTCTTCAACTAATAGTTAACACGGTGCTGTCTAATTGTCCAATATGTAAAATTTGGAGCCTGGCGCAGTTAGAATTTGAAATATCAATTATCTGTTCAAGTGTGAATCAGGCATCGTTGGTGTAGTGGTAGCATAGCAGCCTTCCAAGCTGTTGACATGGGTTCGATTCCCGTACGATGCAGAATTCTTTGGACGTCATGGTAATTTTTTTTGCATTTTATCGAGTGTCTGGACTTTTTTCGGATAACACCGAACGAACCATTTTTGTCTCAGAATTAGAAAAATTATGTGGCTCTTTTTCCTTCCCCCCTCCCCACCTGCAAAATTTTACAAGTAAATTTACTGTTTATTTTGTTTGATTATTATGAAATTTGACGTACGGACTAATTAGGCCATGACAAACATGTTTGGTCTTCATAATTAACCTTCTAAACCCACTCGTTTCACAATAAAATTGATGCTCGTGTGAGGTGGGGGGAAGGAAAAAGAGCCAATTATGTTAAATCAATCAAAAATGCGAAAAAAATTGCATGAAATGTTTTTAAATTAGCTGCTTTTGTTTTATTGTCGTTTTTTGTCAGCTTCCGATTTTGTTACAAGCAGGTTGTTGTCGAATTTTATCTTAATCTACGCTCGAATTTTTGCTGATACGCTCACCTTTTTTTGGAAAAAATCACCTTATAGTGATCAGTTTTGAAAATGTCAAATGAGAAGGCAGGATAAAATGTCAAATGATCAGACAACAGTTTTTTACTGTTGTTTGGTGCTTAGGTTGCTGTGAACAATCTCCACCTGAACTTGTACGATGACCAGATTACTGTGCTTTTGGGCCACAATGGGGCAGGAAAGAGTACCACCATGTCCATGCTCACCGGTCTCTTCCCCCCTACCAGTGGAAATGCAACAGTCAACGGCTTCACACTCAAAGGTTGGCTTCCACTCATTGTTGGTTGGTTGAAGGTATGCATCAGAGGTGACTCATTGTTGGTTGGTTGAAGTTGAAGGTATGCATCAGAGGTGAAGGTATGCATCAGAGGTGCCGCGACTTTTCTGACAGAGACAGCTCAGTCAATTTCAAATTGAGACATTTCGGCCGAAAAAAAAAACAAAAAAGTTCGGGGGGGGGGGGGGGAGACACTTCAGCAAATTTTAAAATTTGCAACAACTTTTCTAAAAACTATCGATTACAAACGGTAGTGGTAAGAGCGCTCCGCTGCGATTACAATCGACATGAGAGGAGTAGTGCACGAGAAACAGTGTTTGCGGTCTCAATATTATATTGTCCGGAATGTCTCCGTCTGAGATGTCTGATTAAGGCTTTTAAGAAACCTGCTGATGTTTTCTGGGCGGTTTTTCCTTGAAGTATGGCATAATCCCGTAAAGCAGTTTTAATTGAAGAACACTATAATCTCTTCATGAAGTAACTATTTGTTCTTTTTACAGTACTTTTGTGCATATTCCGGAGTGTCCATGAACTAAGTGAAGACACTTGGTTAGATCGTGTGGTTTAATTTTAGGAAAATTAGGAGGAAAATGAAAAAATGTCGATTCTCATTTCCAGGCCAGCTGGGAAGGGTGAGGGAAAGTCTTGGCCTGTGCCCTCAACATGACGTCTTATTTGACAATCTAACAGTGGAAGAACATCTAGAGTTCTTTGGGGCCCTGAAAGGAGCGACTCCCAGCGAACTCAAGTTCCAGATACCAGACCTACTTGAACAGCTCCAGTTGGACAACAAGAGAACAGCCAAGTCCAAAACACTCTCAGGTATCGATCTAGTTTATTCGGAATTATTAAAAGTCAAACGAGTTTTGTATTTTAAACTGTATGATATTGTTGTTGTTTAAGAGTGATGAGCGTAGTGATTACTCTTATATAAGTCTTGGTGATTTTTTGATTTTTTCAGGAAAAAAGTCTTAAAATTGGTTCACGCTCAATTTGATTTTTTGCGGGTTGTCATTTAATTTTTTTAGTTGAAAAAACTTGAAAGAAGGGCAAACTCCACTGTCAAACAGCAAAAATTTGAAGGTCACAAAAACGTGATCGACTTCTAATTTCGAAAATGGAAATTTATTATCAGATTTCACAGCGAATTAAAAGTTTTATTTTTTTTACCCAGTGTTCTGAAATTGGGTTTGTTTTTATCAAAGAAGTGTCAATCGTAAATTGTTTTACAAATTCAAAAAGCTATAAGGCCATCTGTTTTTTTCTTCGAATTTCAAAAGATTAAGGATTTTTTTAAAAAAAAACCCAGTATTTTACTTGCGTTCATCACTCTTTTCCAACTGTCAAATGGCTTTGCTAGTTAGTTGCCACAGGGAGCGCTTCAAGCGAACGTGGCCCGAGTCTACGGAACATAGCTACTTCGGCCGGACATTGGGGTCTATTCTGTTAAGATAGGTAAAAAAAGGTGGAAGTAGTCGGATCCGAGCTGTGTTAACGTGCTCCTTGATGAATGGTGGAGCAGTTGCTCAGTCGAGGATAAATCAGGTGGGCCCAGCGGGAGAACTTTGAGAATGAGCGCGTCCTTGATTGCATTGGTTACGTAGTTTATGAGTATCTTTTTTAAAAGTGGTTTTAATTTAAAAACGAAGTTGTTTCGGTGAGTGTAATCGTAAAACGGGTTAGATAGGTCTTCTCAAAGAGTTATTGGTTGAGCTCTTTTAAAAATTGATTAAGAGTTAGGTTTGATTTTTCTGGGAGGAAAAATGAACCTATTATAGAAATGGAAGTGAAGGTACGATTTTAGAAAAATAATGGTTGGATAGACGTTTATGGTGCTGTTGTGCGGATTTTAGTTTGCATTCAGTGTGTATGTGATCTATGGAGCTCATCTTTTTGAACCCTGCCACAACACGTAGAGCTTTTTTTAAAAGGATTTGTAATTTGTTCATGGAGAAATTGCTTGCAGCTCGTGACCAAGCTGGGCTGGAGTATTGGTCTGATCAAGGATTTGAACGTTACAACTAATGTTTTTTTTTGTATCCATTTCGTCTCGGAAAGAGCCTCCAGGATGGTGTATTGTCGAAAGGAAGCCTGGCTTAATTGAAATATTTAAAGTAATAAATTTGAATTGATGATTTGATCGGTAAAAATGCCCTCTGGCGTCCTGAGGAATGTTTGAATTCCAAAGAGGTGAATGCGCATTAACGTCCCCCAGCAGTAAATTATAGTCTTTAGTGAGGTACTGTGCGAGTAACGTTTTATAGTCATTCAGGCTGCTGCTGCGCGTGGGAAAGTAAACGTTCGAGATCCGGAGACTTTGGATGTTAGCCTTTGTTTCAAAGCCCTAGCCTCCTAAATTCTGTCTTGGTTATAGTCTAGTTCCTCGTACATGCAAGGTAGATTCGGTATTCTCAAATTAGGGCTACGTTTCAGGGCTACGTTTCGTTGCAAATGAATTTTAGGATATTTGGATTTTTTATTACGTTCGAGTTTAAAGAACTATCGCTGCGCGGAGTTATAATTCACTTGTGGAGTGCTTGAGACGCGATGTAAGACGTCTAGTCAGTAGTGCGAGTAATTGGGCTTTGGGGAACTGGTTGTTGGCGTTAAAATGTTTGGGTTGTTGGTTACAAGGGGCGGCAGTTGTGAGTTTGGGAACAAAATGAGCAATTAAAGACTTAATGATGGTCTAAGATTGGTGAGCTTACTACATTTAGAATTGACTCATCAGCAAATGTGACCCCACATACTTGCATGATTTTTTTATACGACTTGTTTACATAGGGAGCAATAAAGAGTGTCGGGTTTGGGGTGTTTTCCGGAACAAAGTGACAAAAGTAGGATTAAGAGACGGAGCAGCCTGGCCGGCTTCAGACGCTTCTAACGTAAAAACCCGGGATTTGCAAGCAATCTGCACTCCACTGTTGTTAAGATAGGAGGTTGTAGTTGTGTCAATTACAGACAGGCGAGACTGTCCATTGAGTTCACTATTGGAAGGCGGCACATCAAGAATAAATCATTGATTAAAACAAGAATTTATTGCGAAATTTTACTAAATCGAACTGTTTAGATGTATCAAGAGCTCAAAAGTTGGGACCGGAGTTAATGTTGAATGTGATTAAACCTCACTAAGACCTTTAAATGTAAAGCAGAACAGTAAAAAATATGTTGAATATGTTGGTTCCAAATTAATTTCGATCCATCCAAGATTCCTGCCATCTAGGATGCAAGGTGTTACTTTTGTTTTCTAGGAGGCATGAAGCGTAAACTGTCAGTGGCTATTGCTTTGATTGGGAACTCGAAGATAGTGGTATTGGATGAGCCCACCTCAGGTATGGACCCGGCTGCACGGAGACTCACATGGGACGTCCTACTCAACAACAAGGTCAGTCGGGTTGTCATATATTCATGATGCAAAATTGCAGTAAAGAGAAAAAAAACTAATTTGCGTTCGGGTCAAGCTTAAGCAGCGGCACGGAATTTTGACGTACAGTGATTTGTTTTGAGCGGTCGCAGCAGAGAATTAGTTTGCTTCAACTTAATGTTTTTCATGGAGTAATTTTTCTACAGTTTCAGCAAATATTCTGGAAAAATTTTGCACGTTTATGGTGAAAACAAGTTCCACAATAAAGCATCAGCATACCTTTTTCTCTGAATGAAAATTGGTTTCCTCCGGTCAGTTTCGTAATTTACAGTTAAATTTACTGAGCTTCCTTGATATTCAGGGCGACATTGAAAACCCATTTTCACAGGGTAAAAGAGTCGATTAAATTCGTGAAGACTTTTATATAGGCCGTGAGTTAGTATTCAGGAAACGTCTCAAAAGTGTAAAGGTCACGAAAAGTTTATGAGTTAGTATTCAGGAAACGTCTTAAAAGTGTAAAGGTCACGAAAAACGTGATGGAGTTCGATTTTGGAAAGTGGATTTCAATTTTCAGATTTTCCAGCGGAATGAAAAGTAAACTTATTAATCCTGTTTTGTCAAATTGAATTACTTTTGTCAAAAAATATTCAGTGATAAATTGTTCTTACACCAAGAATTTTGAGACCGTATGTTTTTTACTTCGAATTTCTTGAGGTTGAAGTTTTTCAAAAAACAAGTCATTTTTTCCTGTTTTTCTTTGCGTTCATTGGCTCTTTTCCAAAGAGTCTGTTGGCTATGTTCTTTCATATGAACAATTTCACCGCAAATTTGATCACATTTTCATTGAAGTTCTCTCTTTTGTTGGATACCTAGTGCTTGCGAAGCGCAGCTTGGCCTGTGTGTATTACTTAGCGTAGACGGCAAATCAATTCGGCTTTGAGTTCTTTGCAATTTGAGCTTAGCTTATTTGAACTATTTTTTTTGATTGCCTTTGGAAGAAACATCTTGTAATTTTTAAGATCTTGAGGTGTTTTTTTAAGGAAAAAGTCAAACTTGTCCACGCTCAAGCTTACGTTTCGCGGTTTTACTTTCAATTTCTCTTAATTTATATGTGATTTCAATTTAAAATTGAAAAGCACGTCGCGCTCTCCAAAAACGAAAGTGCAAATTGTTCGGTGCGACAAGCAGTGAATTACTTCTTGTTTTAAGAATGGACTTGTTTTTTTTTTCAGATTTTATCTATTAAGAAATTACTTATTGACTCTGATGTAGCTAGTCTTATCCAGAAAAGAAAATAATTTTTAAAAAGTTTTTAGAACTCAAAGATCTTCAAAGTGGCGTTGTTTTTCTTCGAAACTTGAAAATTCTTCACAAAAATAGTCCTTTTTTTACAGATTTTCTGACTATTTATGTTTGAAGCAGGAATAAAAGAGAAACGTATCGCGGGGGGGGGCGGGGGGGGGGGGGGTGGTTTTTTGATAAATCTGAAAAGCTTCTTTTTGTCTCTTTGTTAGCTTAACGTTTCAGTTTCTGCGATTAATGAACGCAGTGAAGACTCCTATATAGTTCTTGCCGATTTTTGTCCCGACCCTTGAAAATGGGAAAGAACTTTTTTTTCGGGCGTTTTATTTTTTTTTGGTTTTTTTTCTTTTTGTTTTCCAAGCAAAATTAGGTACCACAAACAATCAGGCGACTGGGCTGAGTGATATATCATTTTAAAGCCCTTACAACCGTTTCTTAAACTATGATAAGAAACCGTGTCGAGAAAAACCGGTTTGAAATTTTCGGTTTTCCGTCTTATTTCGAGCGATTAAAGCGTGCAAGCAGTCTTATTTTAATTGCTTAAAAACTTACAATAGCTTAATTTAAAACGTAAAAACTTAGTTTTACTTTAGTACTGTTAGTTAACTTTGAGTATTTTAGCGCCTTTTTGGAATCAAGTTTTTCAAAAAACTGCAAAAAAAAACTTTTATTATGACTGTCGACTGTACCTAATCACCAGTTTTCTGTTCAGCTCTTTTCATCACATCAAGCCGAAAAAACGACAATTATTTATTTTGTAAAAACTTTGTTGTATTTTCTAAGACTATGGTCGGAACATTCTGTGCTACTTGCTCAGTAAGCAACTATCCTTGTTTTTTTTCAGGAAAAAGTCCTAAAATGCTCTAACAACTACAGATGCGCCTTCATACATATTAAAGCAATTATGAATACACTCTGGTTTATATGCGCTTTTTGAGTTCATTCAAATTCATCTGCTCAAAGCTAAATAAATTGCACTCTCAAAATACGAACGTGGAAGTGGCGCAAAGAAATGTAAACGATTTCTAATTTCGAAACTGTAATATAATTTTCAGATTTCCCTGCGGAATATAAATTTTTCTGATTAATCCAGTTTTCTGCAATTGAGTTAATTTTATCCAAAAAGTCAATCTTAAATTCGAATTGAAAGAGGGTAGTCCGTTTTTTTTTAAAAAATTTTGCTTTCAGTTTTCTTTTCCAACTCTCTGTTAGCTATGTTCTCTTTAACTTTGCGTATGTATGCGGAATGCAATTTCGCTAACTCGGAGAAGAAAAGTTCCCCTTATCCTGGAGAAAGAATAAGCTTTCAGTTCAGCTCTTTTTCGCATATTGCTTTTGGAGATTGTCTGAGATCTATTTATTCAATTGCGTTCGCTGGTTTGAGAAGGCCGAATCATAATGGATTTGAGAATGACCTATAAACTTGTGTGAATTGTGTAGGTAGTTTTGAAACAATTTTAGGCGGACCGTACAATAATGTTGACCACTCACTTCATGGATGAGGCAGATGTGTTGGGGGACAGGATAGCCATCATGGCCGAAGGGAGACTGCAGTGTGTCGGCAGCTCCATGTTCCTCAAGAGGAAGTACGGAGTTGGATACCAACTCAGCATCGTCAAGGTAGTTTTACTGGTGTCCTTTTTACCCTAGAAACCCACGATCGTTTTTTGACGCCATAACTTTTGTCGGTAAATTAGTTTATTTATTCGTTTTGCATGGATTGTGGATTAACGTATTTCGGGGAACTGAAATGGTGCGTCGTGCTAAAAGGAGAATATTTTTTGATTTTTGCAGTGAAGTCGGCTGTTGCAACACTTTTAAAGGAACGTTTCCGCATAAGCAATTTCCTGCTCAAAACTTCTTGTTTTCTTTTTGCGGGTGAATAAGAATTTTGGATCCTTGATAAACACACTACAACAGTTGCCATCATCATCTCTGGTTTTTTTAGAGTGAAGGCTGTGACGTGGAGAAAATCAAGAAGCAAGTTCAGATTCATGTTCCGTCTGCCTCAGTGGAGCGCAACATCGGCAGCGAACTCATGATCAATTTGCCCTCCAAAGCAGTCGATAAGTTCCATCCTCTTTTTGAACTTATGGAAAACGAACGGGAGTCACTGGGACTCGAATCGTACGGAGTCTCCGTCACGACCATTGAGGAAGTGTTTCTACGAGTCGGCAAACTTTACGACGACGAGACGACTCCGGATGCCGATGGAAGACACTACTCCATTTCAGGAGGGCCTCACGAGTCAAATGATGACTCGTTTTCACTAGACACGACAACTGTTAATTTCCAGTATAATGACTCAGCTGTGAAACAGACGTCGAGTCTTAAGCTTATCTGTCAGCAATTCCAAGCGACCTTTGTGAAACGTGTTATTCACTCGTGGAGAAACAAAAAATTGGCAATTGCACAAATTCTGATCCCAGCTTTTTGTGTGAGTGTTGCTCTACTTACGGCCAAAATTGCGCCCGATAATTTGGATCTTCCAAGCTTGGTCATGAATTTGAAAGACTACAAAAAGACTATAACTGTTTATTCCAGCGATCAAAATAGCTCGGTTTTGATGCGCGCATATGAAAGTATTGTAACGAACTCGGCTTTTGAGGGATCAACAACAATAAAGGCAGAAAGCGATGTCTCAGTAGAAATTATAAATCAGGCTATTGCTGATCTTGGGACATACAATACAAAAATGATGGTCGCCGCAGAATTTAGGGAAAAAAGTATAACAATGTTGTTCAACAACCAGGCCTACCATACAGCACCACTCTCTCTGAACTTGATAAATAACGCAATTTTTGCGGCAAACGAGATTGTCCACACAATTACTGTTGCAAACGACCCCTTGCCTCCTACCATTGAGGACTCGCAGAATGCAGTGGAAACAGGCGCGGCTATTTGGAAAGGTTTCAACATCGCTTTCAACGTTGCGTTCGGATTCGCCTTTTTAGTAGCAAGTTTCGTTCTTTTCCCTGTCAAAGAACGATCTACAAAATCCAAGCATCTGCAGTATGTCAGTGGATTGCAACCTTCGATTTTCTGGTTGTCTGCTTTTGTTTGGGATCTGCTAAATTTCCTGGCCTCGTGCATAATATTAATCATTCTGTTCGCAATGTTCCAAGTTGATGCTTACACCCAGGAACGATTGTTTTACGTGTTCCTAATCTTTTGCGAGTACAGCTTGGCTGCTCTACCTATGATGTACTGCTTGTCTTTTATGTTCCATGATTCTACTTCAGCTTTTGTCAGATGCACAACTGTCAACATCATTTTAGCTGTGGGGACCATGCTTACAGTGGTCATTCTACAAGCGCTCGGAAAGTTCGGTCCCTCGGAAAGCCTCGGATGGACATTTTTGGTCCTAATTCCCCAGTACTCGTTACCAATAGCGTTGGTTGACCTTTACACTAACTATGAGGCGAATCAACTTTGTAGTCAAAAAGGTTTGACTTACGCGGATTGCAAAGAAGATTTTGGGGATCAGATATCAAATAACTATTTCTCGTGGGAACGACCGGGAGTCGCGAGGTATTGCGTCTTTTATTTATTGCAGAGTGTCGCGTTTTGGATTATACTTATTTGTATTGAGTCTAATCTAACGCAGGTAATCAAAGGCAAAATTGCGAAATCAAAAGTGATGAATCGAAATGAGTATTCACGATTGCAGGATAACGAAGAACGATTAAGAATGGGATCCCTTCAAAACGGGAACCCTAAATCTTCACCTCAAGATAATGTCAAGGATGTTGATGTGACGAAACAAGAGAACTACGTGAAAGGAAATCTCATTGAAGCTATCGATTCATCAACACTAACAGTTGATGGTTTGTCTAAAACGTACTACTCCGGTGATTGCTGTTCTGGCGATGTCAGTATTGTGAACGCTGTCAAAAAAATGTATTTGACAGTTTCGCCCGCTGAATGTTTTGGACTGTTAGGTATTAACGGTGCAGGAAAAACCACAACTTTCCAAATGTTGACAGGAGATATTCCAATGTCGGGAGGAACTGCGTACATCAAAGGGCTGGACATCTCGAAGAACATCAAAAAAGCGCAGCAGATGATGGGATATTGTCCCCAATTCGATGCTCTCATAGATCAAATGACTGGTCGCGAGACGTTGCGTATGTTTGCAAGACTGCGTGGGTTAAAAGCAGAATGTATTGAACAGTGTATTGACGAGCTAATAACATTGCTAGACTTGACTCCTCATGCTAACAAGATGACCCGCGCTTATTCTGGAGGAAATAAAAGGAAATTGAGCACGGCCATTGCGATGATTGGATTGCCACCCCTAGTGTTTTTGGACGAACCCACGACAGGTACTTGTACAAGTTTTACCATAGCAAAAAGCTCAATTTTGTGATGCTGCTTGATGATTTCAGTTTGATTGTATGAAGGTTTAAAACGCCAGTCTCTTAAAATCTTATTCCTTTAACAATTTGAAAAAATCCTTTGTAAGCCAAAACCCCTTGTTGGCATTTTTCAATGTTGTGTGCCGGATTATGAAAAAGGAGGGCCTCGTTGATGATGCTTAAAGTTTTTTTGCAGGTATGGATCCTGGTGCAAGGCGTTCCCTATGGAAAGTGATTCTGCATCTAGTCAGATCCAACTCTCTCTCCATCATTCTCACCTCCCACTCGATGGAGGAGTGCGAGTACCTCTGCTCCCGACTGGCCATCATGGTCAACGGGGAATACCAGTGTCTCGGATCCCCCCAACATCTCAAGTCCAGATTTGGACAGGGCTTCACCCTAGTGGCTAAACTAGAGTACGATCCAACCGGGCAGTACAAACAACGGTCAGTCTAAATTGTCTTAGCTCAAGGTATGTTTTTAAGAAAGCTATCAAATTTTGGTTTCTTCGCCTCAATGCATAAACCAATTAGCATACGCAAATGAATTAGCTAATGCAAGTAGCCGATATAACGAAAACCAAAAAGGTTTTATTGCAAAATATTTCAAATATGAAAAATAATTGTGCAAAAATGCGTTGCTGTTTCTTTTGAAATCCTTTTAAATTTTCAATCATTTAAAATATTTTCAAATTTTATGGTAGTTTTTGTCCTATCTTCAACTTCGGATTTATACGGCTATTTTCAACTTTCTTCTTCTCCAGGTATCACGAGTTCATCGCGAGCACTTTCCCCAAAAGTGTTTTGAAAGACGAACATCAGACGATGATCCAGTACCAGGTGGTGCAACAAGCAGGAGCAGGCAAAGAAGAAGGTATTTTCATTACTAATTTTGAAAAAATATTACCCTTGCGATACCTTGAATGATCAACTTTAGTTGTAATTGTAAATATCATCCTCAATAGCTGACATGCGCAATTTCTTGAAAAATTACATAAAATTACTATCATGTAATTTTACCTGTAATTGGGTGAAGTCAGTTTCGGGCAAATATTTTTTTATTAGATAGTTTTTTGAAAAAGTTATGAATTCTTTTCGGATTCGTGGTTTCCGTACTAGTTTTCGTCGATTCATTTTCTGCTTTGATAAAAGTCATTTTTATTATATGGTACGGACTTTTATCGACTGAACTTCTAAAGCATTGGTTTTACTTTGATAAAAAATAGTTTTTACTGTAATTGAAGTTTCTGTCATTTGTGATTTTAGCCAGACTGATTTTGAATAGTTTCATATGTTTTATTTCGTTTTTTTTTCAATTTAACGGTTTTGGCTCATGAAAATTATTCTGACAACGTATATTGCGTAGTTTTGAAAGCAAAACTTGTGTTAATGCTTCTATGTGTTCCAGTTCGAATGGGCCTACACATTGATTGGCCTACACATTGATAACAGTTTCTCTTTCAAACCCCACATTGAAAAAGTTGTCAAAAAAATGTCAACGAATGTGTATTTGCTTTTGAAACTCAAACAGTTGGGGTACGACAAGAGTGAGCTGGAACTTTAATAAGAAGCTTTGGTGAAACCGCATATTTTTTACGGAGCGTCTGCTTGGGGAGGCTCACCTGCCTATCTTCTGAATAAAATAGATGCAGTACAGCACCGAGCGACACCAATGGAAATCATACAGACCTTCACTCCGGTCAAAAATTTAATTGCGGATTGTGATCGAAAACTTTATGAGCGTATAGTTTCTACACCATCCCATTTTTGAAAGTATCTTACCTCAGCGTACCTGTTACTCAGTTAAACTCCGTAACCGAATACCATGCAGTAGCAAAACACAGAAAGAAAAATACAAGAACTTGTTCCCTGACCGTCTCATTCGGCAACTCAACGACTGATATATAGCGAAATAGATGTATTTCTATTTTGATTTAAGTTTTTTGTTGTTGTTGTAAAGAATTATCGGCTTCGTTCTGATTTGTATGTTAGTATGTTTGGATTTGTATTTCTTGCCAGTTTTTTCCCCGAGGGGAATTTTTAGTTAAGGAAAAATCAAGACATGTTGAAAAAATTGCATGTTGACAAATAGATAGATCAATTTTTCGATACTTTTTCAAAAAAAGTTCTAAGGCTTTATCTCTATTTCTGTTGGTTAGCACGTCATTAATGTATGTGTTGTATTCCAAGTAATGCTATGCTTTGCTTCTCTGCTGTTGTAACTTTTTTTAGAGGTGCAGTTATTTTGTCTCGAAAGTTTCGAGTTTTTATATATTTTTTTTATATTTTTTTTCCATTTGTCGGTTCATCAGAAGTAATGATGGTCAGTAATTTTTCTATCGCAATTAGGGCAAAGCTCTTCTTCGACCCTGTGTTGAAATTTAAAAAGCCTTGCTTCTGTTATACGACTTTCTCTACTTTTTTTTACACCCGCGAGCTAGTGAGCGTAGTGTCATATTTCGAACTCTACTTTTTCCCACGTAATTCGCAAATAAAAGTTTTTTTTGTCGTGCCACTTTTGCTCAATGCATAGCACATGTAGCTTACTTTCTTTACATTCGCGAGCTAGTGAGTGTAGTGTCATATTACGAACTCTACTGTTTCCAACGTAATTCGCAAATAAAAGTTTTTTTCGTTCCACTTCGCTCAATGCTTAGCATATGTAGCTGCTTTATTATTGGTTAGTGGGTTAGTGTTAATAATCTTTTAAGCTACCGTGGCGCAAATGTGAGGGAGTCAGGTGTCCTATCTTTAGGTAGGACGTTCGATTCTGGCACATCGAAATAGTTTTACTTTTATTTGGTGGCAATTTTGCTGAACTGATTTGGCTATTTAATAGCATCTTTGGCTGCTTTATTAGTAGTTAGCGTTAGTATATTATTGAGCTACAGTGGCGTGTATACAAGGACGTGAGGCTCTTAACTTCCAGGATCCATTTTCCATTTCCGGTACAAGACAAAGTCTCATAATTTGTTCACGCTCAATTTGATTTTAAAGTTCTGTTTATTAATTCTTTTTTTTATATAAAGAAGGCAAATTCCACTACAGCAAAAGTGTAAAGCTCACGAAAAATTCATCGAAAATAGATTTCAATTTCCAGACTTCACAGCGGAATGAAAAATACTACTGATTCTTTTTTCTCAAATTGGTTTAATACTATCATTGCGCATTATCAAAATTTTGCACCTGACCAAAAAAATTCAATCATAAATAAATCACAAAAGTCGAAGAGCTTTAAGGCCGTATATTTTTTCTTGGAGTTTTGGAAGTTGAAGTTGTCCATATGCTCAATTTTTTTCCACCCCAACTCGCATATATCAGTGCTTACTTTCGTTGGAGTTTTTGTTGCATTCATAGCATAGCAACTTAAAAACATGTGTTATATCTATCCGTTTTATTGGTTGCTAGTGTTTGGAAGATTTGGACAAAAGGTTGTTTCACCTTTTTTGGTTGGTTTTTGGCTTTTGTTTGCGATATGCATCTTCGATTCTGAATTTAATTTATTATTAGAACTCATTTTGGTCTTTTTTGTTGCCTGTTTTTGCGAAAAATAGATATGCTTCTGATTTTTTTTTTAATTTAGTTTGTGATTGCTGGTAACAAATTTCGCTTGTGATTTTGAAGGCTTGGCGTATCAAGATGCCCTATCAAAAAAATGGCTAATTTCGGGTTTATACGCAAAGCTTGATTTATTTTTTCATCATCTTCTGAATTTCAAAAAATACCTTTCATTTTTTTTTAATTAGGATTTTCTATCAATACTTCCTGCTTTAGTCTGTTTGTATGAAAACAAAGTTTTTCACGGTTTCATCATAAATTTTCAAAGAATCTCAATGATAAGAGTTTTTGGAATTTAAGTTACTGATAATGTGGAAGAGTTTTCAAAAATTGGTTTCAGCGTGTGTTATTTTGATGCCATTTTAGCCAGTTAAATTAAGTTAATGAGTGCAATCACTTTTCCGCTCATAAATTTGGCTGTTTTTGTATCTGTTTTTGACTGCAATATTAAGAAAAATCAGACTCTAATGGCGCGGAAAAGAACTATGGAGGAGGGTTGTTTTCTTCGCTAGATTTTAGGTACCTCTAGAAAGCTTATAGTCAAATTGATTTTAGGTACCTCTAGAAAACTATAGTCGAAATGTTTTTTAAAAGTTTTAGTTGTTAAGTTCAGTGTTAATGAACGCAGTAAAGACACATTAAAATTGGCGTTGTTTGTTTTTTAGTTTTTTTTTTTTAAAAGTCTTTGAGACTTTGATTTTTTGTGTTTTTTCCAAATTTAGTTTAAATAAATTTGTTTTATGGCAATGCAAATTCTTGCAACCAGATTTTGGAAAACTATTCACGTTACAGGGGCCTGTTTTTTTAAGGGTGAATGAATAAAACAACATTATTTTTTGATTATTTACTTACGTTGGTCGCGTGGTTTTTCTGGGTAAATTTTTAGTGACTTTTATGGACCCATGACATCTATATTTTGGCTGCGCTAAGAATGCACATGATAACTTCAATGAAATTGAAATGAAAAAAAAATGAATTTCCAATTGTTTAAGTGAGACTGGTTGAAAATGGCGCAAAAAACGTCGGAAAGAGGTATTTTTCAGTTCTCATAGAAATACATTAGCTGTTGATACAGTTTGCGGAGGAAATTGAGTTAGTTTTATCCAAAGTGTCAGGCAGTATAGTTTTTTAAATTGCAAGAGCTCAATAGTTATATAATTTGCTGCGTTACGCTTGCGGTTAGCACGCATTATCAAATCGGAATATAATTTTTTTCGGGTTAACAACTTGCTTAACAGAGTTTTTTGAATCACTTGGTATCTTGGTTCATAATGAATTCAAATTTCTTAGCGTCTACGGCACACTTAGCCTGGAGGCAATGAATACGCCTGGAATGGTAAAGGTCCTGGGTCTGAATCTGACCAGGAGCTGTTTTTTTTTCAAACGGGTTCGTTTTTCAAAGTTCTTCGTTTCAAAAAATTGTCGGCTTAATATCTGTCTGCTTATTATTTGTCTGCATATGTTTTGTCGGCTTAGTTGCCACATCTTAGAATTTTTTGCTGCATGCAGTTTCCTCGTATGTTTTCATTGACTTCTGCAATTTGTAATTTTATAAACTTGACTTCGTATATTTTCCTTTTTTTTCGCTTAAAAAATTTTTCTGCCTAAATGATTTCGGCTTTTATTTTATCGGCTTTCTCGCCTAATTTTGGGTCGTTCGAGGGAACCATAATTTGTGTGATTTCCTTCGGATTGCACAAAATAATTCAAAGTTTTTCGCGAAAACAATTTTATTTTCGCTCATAAATTGTTTTTGAATGTTCATTAAACGCCATAAATGTGTTTTTTGGAACGTGTTTTCCGCAAATATAACATCACTCCAGACAACATCTAGAAATTTTTTAGTTGTGGTTTCTTCGAAAATTTTTTGGTTTTCTTTGGACTAAGAGGCTCTCTTTTGCTTTTCTGTCTGCTAGCTTGTAATTCTATCCTGTGTGTAACTCGAAACTTGAAATTTTAAAATTCATTAGTTCGTTTTTTTTTGGTTTGGCTAAGTTCATTAATGCTTTTCCAGCTGTTTGTTGCTATATGTATTTTTGTATAAGTCTTTGGATTTATTTTGATATTCAGGTAGTAGACTTAGATGGAGTGAGGTGTTCCAAACCATGCAACAACACAGGGACTTGCTGCATATTCAGGACTACAGTGTCAGCCAGACTAGTCTGGAACAGGTGTTTCTCAACTTCGCCCGCAACCAGGCCCAGTAGAGAAATAAATCAAACAGCAGCAACAAAAATATCAACTAGAAGAATATCAACAGGTAGTTTTTACAACAAAGCAATCGCCACAACAACAGCGTCCACAGTAGTGACAGCAATCATATTAGCAGCAACCACAGTATCGTCGTGGCATCCAATTCAGTCACGCAACCATGACTCATTCGATTCGTCTTGTATTCATGCTACCCCAGTTGTCTGATTGTCAAAATTCTGATATAACGAACAATTTTGAAAGTAGCTATTGCAAGTAATTGTTTAACAAATTAGTATATAAAAATAACTTGTTATGATCCAATTGCTCAGACAGAAGATGTGATGATTCACGTCTATTTCTATCTAAAAAACTATTGTTTTAAAATAGAAAAAAAACGTTTTATTTCGTGATTTGAACAATTGCTCAAAATTTATTGTTCATTTCAAATTTGTGCACAATTTCTGTTTCATGAAACCTTTTTGTTGTCCATATACAAGATATACAAAGTTTTTAGCTGATGTTGTAGTTGAAGTTCTTAATTCGCTAAAAAGGCGTTCTCGCAGTATTTCGTTTTAAATTTGAACCAATTTTTGAAAAGAATATATAGTCATAAACATATTTTCTGGTGCTAATGTATAAATTTTGAATCCTGTTTAACTTGATATAAATGAAGTTTTGAAATCGATTATGGTTTTTACGTCAAAAATTTGGAATTGATTTTTAAAATTTGATCTTTATTTCTTCTAAAACATACAGAAAACTATCCATCTAGTACCTGTTCTCATCTAGATCGACGTTTTGTTTTTCTTTTTTTTTCAGATAAAAGTTCGGCGGAAACTTAGGTTTTTTTTAGTGAAACACGATCAAATTTTTGTTTTCTCGCCTTGACTTGAATTTTTTCAATTTCACTTCAATTTCATAATTGAAAAGCCAGATTCAATAGGAAAATGTATAAGGGCAGAGTAGTTTTTTTAAGAAAATTGTTACTAAGGTTCTATTTGGCTTCTGTAGTGCCTTTAATTTCGTATGGTCTCCTTGTCTATGGCAGCACAACTAAAACAAATCTGTACAAAATTCATATCTGCCAGAAAAGAATTCTAAAAACCATCCTATTTAAACGCGATTTTGAACGTGTAACTTTGAAATTTAATGAGCTCAGAATCGACACAGTTCATGAAATTTAGGGGTCCCAGCTGTTCAAAGAAACAATTTTGCATTATTTAAGACTTTCACTAATTTATTATTTGAATATCAGTATTATTGGCAGTCGTAGAAATAAAATAAGTGATTTTGTGGAAATGGTATGATTTTTTTTCATCGTTGAAGACAAATGTTATGGAACATTCTCTTCCATGTAAAACATTGAAATGCTTCAATTTCTTGATGTTAAATAAATTTTTACTAATGAAAATGAAACGTTTTCAGATGATCAGTGTTCAAGGTTTTTTGATCTGCTCAAAAACAATTATATAATAGATAATGTTCAGCTGACCAATTTGTTTTTCTAATTTTTAATAGATGACCTTTTGTCGTTATTTAATTGTGATAGTAATTCCAGAGGGAAGCTACTTGTTAGGCTGAATAGCCTGTTCTAGCTTTCCTGATGCACTGATTGATTATGCTCTCATGATTTTCTGCCTTATCGAATGATATGAATGTTGAATATTGAAGGTCAAAGACAGTCCTGGGACTTATTCTTCAAACCACTCGTGTAGTGGGTTGAGTTTATGAAGTTGCAAGTTTTTTTTTGAGCAGCTCAAAAATTTTATACGGAATAGACAATTGTATCTTGAATAGGTCTTTTGGTTCTGAAAGGATCCTTATCAAAGTTTTTTTTGAAACTTAGAAAAAAAACTTTCTAAATGTGGACTATTTAATTGTGATAGTAATTCCAGAGGGTTTTTGAAGTGCGGACATATAGTCCAAATAGAATAGTTTAGCAGACTCTAAAATTGAGCTGCCTTGAAGGGTTTTTCAGCGCTGAATTTTTAACTGAGAAAAGGAATAAGCACTGAAGCTTTTACTGTATCTAATGTATTGTTATATATTGGAGGCTATGAGTTTCATTGCTGTGTGGAATAAAGACACACTGGCTAGTTGGCAAGAACAAGTATCTGAGCTGAAGTCAGTTAACCAAGCAAGGTAGCTTTCTTTTCGTCTACTATTTGAAGAGTTTTTTGTAGCTTTTCGCAAAACCGGTTGGTTGGAACTTACCAAAAATAGCTCGAAAATGGTTAAAAAATAACGTAGAAATAATTTTTTTCCATGGCGTTGCCATAATGTATTCAATTTTGTTTTTAGTGCTGCAGAAAAGAGTGTTCAGATTCAGTCTAATGGTCCCTGGTTGATGTCGTTGTTCTTTCATAGGGTTGACATGCTGACTGTCCGCAAACTACTTCCCTTCCTTTCCCAATCACTTTTTTCTGGGATCCTCATTGGTCGCTTTTTTAGAAGGAGCGTAGACTCACTCTTGTGAATGATTTACATGAGCTTGGAAAAAACTCAGTTGACTAAGAATAAGGCACATATTCGAGAAAGTTGTTCAAAAATGACACCCTGATTTGATTTTCTATAGAAATCATCAAATTTGATGCCCAAGTTATGGAGCTTGCCCAGTGGCGTGCGCAGAAATTTTTTTAGTGAGGGGGGGGCGTTTTTCAAAAAAATTGGAAATTTTCATGACTTTTTTTTTTGATCGACCAATTTTATTTTCTGAGCTGTCCGAAAATACTATAAGGACCCTGTTTTGTGAAACTTTGTCCTTTGTCAAGGCGTTTTTGGGCACTTTTTGAAAAGTTTGTCAAGGCGTTTTTGGGCACTTTTTGAAAAATTTAGATAAAAAAATCGCGTTTTTTCGGCGCGCGCGTTTTAGAACATTTTTGAGGTTGGTCAGCCAAAAATGGATGTCGTAAAGTTATACCAAAGGGGGGACCCTTTGGAAAAATTTGGCATCCAGATTTGAGGGGGGGGGGGGGGGGCGAATTGAAGGCAAACGCAGTAGCAACCCCCCCTTCGGCACGCTGCTGCGCTTGCCTTATGTTCTCAAATACTTCGACAAGGGTAAGCTCTGCCTTGGTTGCTTAACATAGCAATTAATGAATTGACGATTTTCTCAAAGTTTTGAGGAGTGTTCTCGCCGAGGCTCGGTCTAGATAAAAGTGGGCGCTATCTAGACTTCCTTTGTAGTTATTGCTCCTTGTCATGATAATAAATTTGGAAGCCACTGAATATATAGCCATACAACAGACTGATATTTCTTAAAAGTAATTCATTTACGGTCTTTTGGAAGTTTCATGCTTAACGCATTTTAGATTTTTAATGGCCATGTTAGATTTAAGTTCTTTTAATTTTTTCTTCGTTCAACCTGGATTCTCTAAACAACGTCTCGCGATCTTCGAAAAACAGATTGTCAAATCAGGCGGTAAAATTTCGGCTCAAATCGGAGATAACACGACTCATTTGATTTTCAACAAGTCCTCTCAGAGTCATGATATTTGGTCAAAGAAACTGGCAGCACTGGATTCTGATACACGAAATTGTCTAACCTTGATCGATTCTGAATGGCTGTCGAGTTGCTTGAAAACCAAGAAACTTGTGGACGAAAAAGCGTTTCTTATTAAAATAGATCTAAATAGGATAACAGCTGTGGATGACTCAGAAAATACGACCGCCGATTGTTCAGGTAAATCTATCAAATTATAATTTTAAATTTTTTTTTTGAGAATCTCTTTTAGTCACCTTATGAGTCAGAATTGGCAGCGGGTAATTGAATTTGATATCCTCGAGATAAGAATTCAATGAAATCATTTCGAGGCGAAGCCGAGTTATTTCTAGAAAAGTCGTGATTTTTTATGGAGTAGAAAGTGATGGCTCAGGATGAAGCAACTACCAATAAACAGATTTAATCTATTTTTTTGTCGAAACGCCGGAAAGTGAGTTTTGCTCCTCACCCTCAGAAAGGGATGACTTAGGTTGCGTTTTTATACGCGCATTTAGGAACTTCAACGAAAACTCGCATGGAGTCAGGTGTGGTACCACATCGACGCTCTTTGAATTGTTATTCTGATTCCAAAAAGAAGCAAGGAGGGCCGGTTGATGCCAAGTGGCACAGAATGTTCCGACCATATTTCAGTACGTTGTGTGATGATAAAACAATACGAACTCCTAGAAATTAGTGAATTAGGTATAAAGGAATCCACTGGTCTTCAAAATAAATAAGTAAAATGTAAAACAAAAAATTTTCGAAAAAATTGTTTTTGAATTTATTGCACTAAAAATTTTAAATAATCTTGAAAAACTTTTTTTACCGGAAAAAAGCTAAGTGAAGCTTTCAAAACTAACGGAGAAAAGAATTTTTTTCGAAACTGAGAAATTTTGCGATTTTTTCGGAATCCGAATCACGACGAGTTGGGCTTTAGTCCGATACTAGAGTTCTCCTTAAGATAAATAAAATTCACTGGAAAATATCTTAATAAGTAGACGGGTCCTACGCCATAACTCCCTCCCAATCATCAAGAGTGGTCGTATTAATTACGAGTGTTTTCTATTTCGAGGAAAGTTGCGCTTATTTTTCTTACTGCCCTGACTTAATTGCCCATAAAAGGTTGCATGAGAAATATAAGGACTACGAAGTGGATATCTGATTTTCTACTAATTTAAGCTAGCGTATGCCAATTTCTGTCTGTGATCTGAGTTTCATTTTTTTTCCTGTCAAAAAAATATTTTATGTATTTAGTATTTTTTCAGTTCGAAATATTTTGTGCTAATTGTGGATATCAAAACAATAAAGTTCACAATCGAAGGTAACTGTTGGTTTGAGCTTTTCAAAGGGTGTTTGAACCCACTTATATGCCTAGAAAGACTGATGGTATCAGGGGAAGCCCTGAAGGTTCCAACTGTCCCTTAGCTGGTCTCGAATAGTATTTGTTTAATAAAGTTTTGGTGAAATACAAATTTTGGGCTGCCAATATCAAAATTGAAATTCTAATATTTGAGTCCAAATATAATGACCCATGAGGTTTCCTCAATTCAGTTTGGAACGCTTTTGAGTGTGCGATAATTCGCGTTATTAATGCGTGAGTTGGAATTTTCAACTATTTCGACGCATTTAGGCTAATGGCAAGCATACTTGCTTGGTAATCCCTGGATTTCCGGTTCGATGCCCATACGCTGTCAGTTTTTGTAAAATTGGTCTGAACATAAACAAACCACCCCATGCATATATATTCCTCACTTTCTTTGAAAGTCGGATCAAAAATATGAACATTTGGATAGTTTTTTGTACATTTAGTTGTTCGCTATTATAGCAACTTCATATCACTGTAGTCATTAGGTCAATCTATTAGAAAAGTACTATAAAAAGTTATGAAGGGCTGTTTTTGGAAAAATGAACACACACCTTTTTTTAGCACTTTTTGAATAGGTTAACTTAATGACAACAGTGCACACCGCTATTTTAACCTCACACGAATCTAGATCGCTTTTATTTACGCGATCAGCGTAGTGTATTGGTTCGAATTTTCTTTTTATTCTAACTTAACTCGCAAATAAAATTTTCATTGAAAAATGAACGTGTTGACTTATATGTGGAACTTTTGCTATAGTCACGATCTAGCAATGAAAATTTCATAGAATTTGTTCTCTGCTTTTTTTGTGGCTAGTGTTTGAGATGTATTAAGCGTGCGTGGCTGAGTGGTTAGTGCATGGGACTCATAATCTCTAGGTCGTAGTAGGGCGCAGATCGAATCCCAGACCTTTACAATTTTTTTCTAATTCGAGGCTTATTTCTACCTTTTCTTATTGCACTTCACGAAACTGCTTTTTTGTCGTGCTCTCGCTAGTGTTTGCGAAGCGATGTTTCGCCTCTATAAAATTGCTCGTTTTTTACTTCCATACTGAAAGCTTAGCGCGCATAATTTACGCGTGGTGAATTAGCCCTCGCTACAAATCGTATCAAATTGAGTTGAGGCACGCTAATTTGCTTGGTTAATTCCATAGAATACTCCACTTTCACACTTGAAGTTTAATATTGTAAGCCAAAAACTCACAGTTGGTCAATGTTTCATTAACTAAAAACTATTCGAGAACAGTTGATGGGCACTCCGAACATTCTTGGCTTTGTCTTGATACGAGCTGGCTCGTTTTAGTTATATGAGAGCATTTGTATACCGACTTTCGAAGAAAACGGAATGTGTATGCTTGGTGTGGTTTTTACCTCCGATTGGTTTTTGCAAAATTCTGGGAGTTTGAAAATTTAGCCATGCTCTGTTCTAGCTTGTGCGCGCTTTGAAGATTTTATTCATAATGCTGAAAGCGTAACGCGAATTATTTATGCATGGTTAATTATCCCGACAACAAAATTGTTCCAAATTGAATTGAGGCTAGCTAGTCGGTCGGAATAATTATTGCACGACTCACATTTTCACACTTGGTCTTATATACTTCGAAACTTAGTAGTTTTGCAATTTTTTCTTTTACCAAAAACTATTCGAGGCCAGTTAAAGGGCAGCCCGAACATTCAGGGCTTTGCGCTGATATACGAGCAGTTTTGCTTCAAAGTGTCTCCACTCTCTAGCAAGATCCTATAAATTATTAGAACGAAGTTTAAATTTGTTTTTTGGCTTGTTCTCAACACATTTAACCCTGGATGATAACTGCTCTGCCAATGGGTAAAATCGGCGTTCCAGGTATCACTGATGAACATAATTTTCTTTCCACATCGGTTGATTCCAGGAGCGCTATGACACACTCAAGGTTTAAAAAGTGACGCAAAAAATTTTGCTACAACAATTTTGTGTGCTTTTCAGCTGGCTAAATTATTTTATATTGCTGCAGAAGAAAGATTCTAGTTATTACAAAAAGAATAAAAGAATTTTTCCAATTTCTCCACGTAAATAAACAGAAAAACAGAGTTTTTTTTATTTCTACAGCTGTATATGTCTGACAATTTAATCAGCATAATTTTGAAATGAAATAGTTATATTGAAATCAGAGTCGGAGGGGAAAAATCAACAGGGTTTTTGTATATTCTGCCCTAAAATGTAACTTATTCAATTATTTAAATATGATCAGCTATGTATTTGTACAGACAGTAAAAACGACCTGACAAGCTAATTTATTAGTAAACGTCGGAAATGAAATCTCACATAATTCAATCAAACAAAGTAGTGGTGAAACCATTGCACCTGTAGTGTGACAACCTTAACTGGAAGGAACGAAAATTTTTCGTTCAAAAAATAATATATTACAAATACCAGTGCGTGGTATTTGCTATTACAATGCACCATTCCAAAAGTATCATTTAAAATTGGCTATGTTTTCAGGCGAAGCAAAAGTTACTAGTGAAAAAACTCGGAAAGTTTCTGATTCTTATGTAATTGAAGCACCTGCAAAGCGAATCAAACTCGACGATTTATCGAGCGACAAATCTGATTGTCTCATTACAGCTACTCAATCTCAACTTTTTCCGAACAAAAACGAAGACTCCGATTATGACTCTTCAGATGATGTCAATATTACGTCCGACGACAAGGAGGAAGCCATTCGGCGACTTCTCGGCTACGACCCGAAAGAGATGCCAAAAGGAACTTGGGTTTGTACGCAGTCATCCAAAGCTAACAGGGAAGAATCGGGTTCTACAGGAGATAGAAAGGAGCTAATTTGTTCGAAATTAGAAGAAATGGCTGACAATTATGAGGCTACAGGGGATAAATGGAGGGTGTACGCCTATAGAAAGGTGAAATTTATTAATCATGCAAAACATTTCTTAAGATCACTGAGATGATTTTTATTCGCGAAAGAGAGATGCCCTCAATTTGAGAAGATTCGAGACGATATGTTGACAGTCGTTGTTTAAGAGTAACGAACGTAGTTATATAGGTCTTGCTGATTTTTTTAAATGAAATATTCCTAAAATGCTCTAATAACTACAGATTTGCATTCAAACATATTTATGAATGCACTTAGCTATATATGCACTTTTTGAGTTCAATTGAAAATCATCTGCTGTAAGTGACGTAAATAGCACTCTCCAAATACGAAAGTGGAAATGGCGCGAAAAAACGTGAATGATTTCTAGTTTCGAGAGTGGAATTTAAATTTTAGATTTCCAGCGGAATAAAAATTTTACCTGTTGATCCAGTTTTCTCAAGTTGGGTTAATGTTATCAAAAGAGAGCCAATCATAAATCGTTCTAGAAATTCAAAGAGCTTAAAGGGCATCAATTTTTTTCTTTGAAAATCGAACGAAAACTGAAACGAGATTTTTCAGCAAAGTCAGGGTGCTTTTATGTTTACTTGCGTTCAGTTCATTACTATCTTTCATCTTCGATTGGCTATGTTAAACTTTTTTAAATTTCTTGTAAGATCTGTTGTTAGATCGCGCCAGAAAAATTTTTGTGTGCATCTTGACTTGGTTTTAAAAATTGTTTGAGTTAGACAAGTGTTAGAGTGAGAAGGTTAGAAATGGAGGATGCAAAGTAGTACGAAATATGCTCCCTAGCCCTAACTAATGCTCTGCTGGTTAAAGCCTATTTCTATTTTTCAATCTGCTTGTTTAATTTAAAAAGTAGCAATTTTTCAGTAAAACAGTCGTTTGTTTAGGCTGTGAGTGCAGTTAGATCTCATAAGAAGCCCATTTGCAAATTTGAAGAAGTGAGTTCGATTCCCGGTGTTGGCAGAAAATTGGGCGATAAGATTTGGGAGATTGTTGAAAAGGGTTCGTTTAGCAAACTGGACAGCGTGAAAAACAGTGAAAAGATGCAGATTATGAACTTGTTCACGAATATCCACGGAGTGGGTTCCAAGACCGCGGAGGCATGGTATGCTATGGGACACAGAACATTGCAAGACATCAAGGACAAGGTATGAAGTGCAGTTTCTAGACTTAAAAACCCGCGTCTTTCACTCCTTGCTTTTATCTGCATAATATACTTGCTCACAATTTTAGAAGATAAAATATCATATCCTGACAAATTTTGATATGTTTTCACTCATTTTGCCCCTCAGTTTGCCCCTAATTGCTTATGAAATATTTGGAGTGAAATTAATGACGGTTAAAATTTACCATTTAAATCAAGTGAAACTTAATTTTGTGAGGGGTCGAAACGTGGCAAATTCAGCTGGCATACCTCCTAAGAGACAAATTTCACGTTGTGAAATTTTTTGTTCACGAAGAAAAAGGCGAACATGTGAGCTTGACAACTTTCATTGATACTGCTGTTTTCCTTGGCCCCGTGGTCGAGACTATTGACTTTACTTTTTTCTAAATTACTTTTTTTGGTTCACTTTTGCAAACAACTAGCATGGCTAATTGTATGTCACTCAGGATTGACACTCTCAGAAATTTCTTCGAATCTGGAGAAATTTCTTCTGGTTAAATTTGGATCGGATTTGGGTTGTAAAATAGCCCAAAATCTTCCGACGATAGATATTATTGTAAAAAAAGGAATTCGAAAAACAAAATCATTTTAGCATATCGATATAAAAAATGATGGTTAAATGCGTAAGTAGCCCAGAAGTCCCCGACCACAGCCATATTTGTAAAAGACAAAAATTTAAAATAAAAAGTTTTTTTGCTTTGTTTCGATGTGGATAAACCGTTTCAGCGAATAATAATTACCCTAGATCATAAGAACATTAGTGTTGTTTTTGAGTACTCTCAATTATCGTTTAATAATTAAGATTTTCTCAACATCACTCACAGTTGGTTCAGAGGTAAAGCGCAACTTATACGGTCTAAGGTTTCTTGTCCGGCTTGTTGTTTTTCGATGTGTGCAAATTGATTTATTTTTGAAAGCTAGCTTGATTTGTCCGACTACCCTTTGTTAAATTATTTTTTAACGGCGTTTTTCTGTTCAAAGCATAATTTTTTTTCAAAGCATCAAAAATATTTTTGGTTGAACAGTTTTAATTTGAAATGAAAGTCGTTCTGTTCTGTGTTATGTAAGTTTACCAACTCTGATTTTGTATAATTATATTTTATTTTTTGCTTAAATGGGTTCGGTTTACGCTATATTCCCTAATTATCTTATTTTGCGTTGTTCAAAGTGCAAGAAAAGATTGCTATGCTTTTGTTTGTGGGGAGTAAAACGAATAAAGTTTTCAAAGAATATCAAATTTTTTCTATGACATCAATTTGTTTTCGTGTCATTTGGCATCTAGTCAAGTATTGTCTGCTTAGTTGCCGCTCGGTAAATAAATGTGAATGCTTGTTTAAAGGTAGTGGCTGTGTTCCTTGATATGTTTTTCTCAAAAAGAAGCCATTTGAGACAAATTATGGAAATTTTTGTATTTTTTTTTCGAATTTCGAAAAACGTTCTTAGCCTCAGTTGCGTGCGTCTTTTTTTCTGTACGCTAATTTACAATGCTATCTTTGTGTTGCATCGCAATAAGTGCTGCAAAGCTCCGCTTTGCTTGTGTTTATTTCAAACAATCAAATTCGAGATCCATAGTTTGAATTAACAGAAAAAAAACTTATAACTTTTTTCCTCTTAACATTCAGATCGTTCTTACTGGACCGCAAACAGTTGGTATTGATCTATACGACGACCTAGTTCTTCGAATGCCACGCGAGGAAGCAGCTGAGATTGAGTCTTTCGTCAGAGGCAAAGTTCACAGTATCGATCCAAACTCAATTTGCGAAGTTTGTGGCTCCTTCAGACGAGGGAAACCGACCTGCGGTGACCTTGACCTCTTGATTACAACACCAGACGGAGTGTCCCATAGCAGGGAAGTGTTTCAGAGAAAAAACTAGAGATACTTCTGGAGTTACCAGAGCGGCAAAAATATATTTATATTCGCCGGATTTTTGTAGGATTTTTAGTTGCTAAGGGACGAGCAAAAACTTGAAGAAATGATTTTTCATCTCAGTCTATCTCGGTTTCGTTTTTAGAATCGTGCCATAAAAATCATCTATTAAGTTCAATGGAACAATATGAAGAAATGGACTATTCGCAATATTCTGTTAAATATGTATGTCATTTTAACAGAGTATGACACAGTCTATCTAACAGTTTTCTCTAGCCATTCAATTGATCGTGTTTCATGAATAGCTAGATAATGTGGTCGCTTTGCAAGTACCTTAGAATGTTGCGGTCAGAGTTTCATTGCAGAAAAGAAGTCGATCTTTTAAATACATTTTATGGTGGTTTATTTTTTATAGTGAAATGACAAGACTCAAAACAATGTTTTTGAACCTAATATTTATATTTTGATTGATGAAATATTAGTGTTTTGTAAGTGTCTCTGAGTGGTTCTCTGCTATTCTTCTAACAGGATAATGTCGCCTCTTCTTGAGGAGCTGCACTCGATCGGATTCCTCACACATGACCTGGTCTCTGTCTCCCCCGAGAAAACAGTCAACATGCACAAGTACATGGGAGTGTGTATACTACCTGCTGGAGAGAATGAGAGAGATAGGAGACATAGGCGAGCTCTTTCTCCTACTATCCTTAACTTAATGCTATTTGTACTTATATTTAAAACTCTTCTATCGTTCCCTCTTCTATCACCAGATAGAAAAATTGTAACAAATGGTTTTTACGAAGTTGCAAGAAATCTCAAGGCCATATGCATTTAGGATTTAGGGTAACCCGCATGCCAGTTTTCATTACAATTTGTAATAAATATTGAAAATAAGCAGGTTGCAAGCGGGGGGACGACCGTAGAACTGACAGGTTTGGACCCCCCCCCCCCCCCCCCCACCCGCAAGTACATAATAACTCATCCAGTGAGTTGTAGTCCTAATCTGAAGTTGAACTCATCGCAAAATCAAATTTACTCGGGCTTCTTCTCTGAAGTCTAAAAAACGAAGTGATTTTCTTTTGTGCAGGTCTAGATGGTTTTTTAGGTAGTCTTAAAATGCTCTAATAACTACAAAAGGGCATTCATTCATATTAATGCATTTATGATAGCACTAAGGTATATATGCAGTATTTGGGATCAATTAAAAGTTAAAAAAGCCCTCCAACGGAAGCGGAAATGGCGCGAAAAACTACGTAATCGACTTCTAGTTTCGATAGTGGATTTTAATTACTAGATTTCCCAGCGGAATAAAAAAATTACCCAATGATCCAGCTTTCTTCAATTGGGTTATTTTTTATCAATTAAGTGTCAATGAAAAATTTTTCTTGAAATTCAAAGAGCCTGAACCTGGTCTATTTTTTCTTTGAAATTTGAAAATTGTTCAAAAAATTATTAATCGATTTTTTTGGGTCTTGTTTTTTTTTCACACACTTCCAACCGTCTGTTGGCTACATTTTCCTGAGTTAGCTTGGTTTTGACTTTTAATGGGGGTTTTCATTTGTTGAAGCTATTGTTTGTTTGCCCTTTGGGAGGGGGACTATTATGGGAAAGAGCTCTTAGGCGGATAGACATAATATGTGTACCCTTCTCCGAGTACCCCTGTGCTGTTGTCTACTTCACTGGATCTGCGTACTTCAATAGGGTTAGTGGAAATCAGGGGCGGACGTCCCCCCCCCCCCCTTCAGGGATTTGACCCCCCTTGCTGACCCAAACGGTCCCCCCTTTGTACTATTTTGATATATCCATTTTTGGTGACGGACCCTAAAAATGTTCTAAAGGCGCCTTTGGCGCCAATATATATTAATTTTGAGGGGGGCACGCGTCAAAAAAACGCTATTTTTTGGTCAAATTTTCAAAAAGTGCCTATAAACGCCTTTTTGGCCTGTTTTTTCAAAATTTTTCCTGCGGCGCGCCAAAACAGGGACTTTTTAGTGCTTTGGGAGAGCTCGAAAAATATCAATTTGGTCGACCTAAAAAGGTGGACAAAACTTTGGAAAATTTTTTTGAAAATCCGCCCCCTTCCCCCCAGGGTGGAAATAGTCAATACTAGTTACAGTTATGAGTAATTTTGAGCTGTTGGGACACAATGGCAAAATTTAGTGCCGCAATTTCTGAAATTTGTTTACAAAATGAGTTTTCAATTATTTAGCTACTTATTTTTTCTTTTTTCTATAGGAAAAAGTGTTAAAGTTTGTTCATGCGTAACTTTATTTTTTGGCGTTTTTTTTCGTTTAATTTTTTTTTATAAGTTCATTTTATTTACTGCTACATAAAAGGCAAGTTGCGCGCTTCAATTAGAAAATGCGACTACTATGAGTTTTAGTTTCAATAAAGGATTTCAGATTTCTCAGCAAACTAGAGAATTAATTATTGATCGGTTTCTCTAACTGTTTCAGTTTTATTTACTCAAGCGAGCGTAGTGTAAGATAGTATAAAACTAACTTTTTTTCAACCAAAATCGAAATTAAAAGTGCTCATTTGTTTGAGTTTTTGCCACAATTACGATCCATAGCATTGGGAAGTTATTAATAGGTTTTCTCTATTTTATTTGGTAGCCCGTTTGTTAGCGGATCTTCCAGCCACAGTGGTAGAGGGAAGTTATGGGACTCCTAATCTTTAGACAGGAGGTTTAATGCGCACTTAGTAATAGTTTTATTTATTTTTGCTGCAGAGCATTGACAATTTATTAGCACCTGCTTTTTTGGTGGCTAGTATTTGCAAAATTTCAATGGATTGTTGTGCAGATGCGATGAAGCCAGACTTCTAAACCAGAGGTCGGAGGATCGAATCTGACAGATAGTAGAAGTTTTATTATTCAGGATTTTTTCTCATCCTTTCTTATTTTATTATTTAGAGCTTTTTTGCCGTTTTCTTGCTTAGTGCAATTTTTGCTCTGTGTGGAAAGTGTTGTTGAAGAAAAATACTCCTGATATTCAAAATTTTGAAATTAGTACGGACATTAAAAATTTGAAAAAAAAAAAAAATTTCAAAAGTTTGATTTACTTCTTTTGATGTCATTGACACTTTTTTAACTGTTTATTGACATGGTTTTGTTTCATACATATGCAGAAAAGACCATTGGTATTTATTTGGTTTGAGTCCTATTTTTGGATTTTTTGATAAAAAGGTGTTGAAAAGGGTTTGAGCTTGACTATAATAGAGACAAGTTGTGACTGAAATTTTTGACAAAATTTATTTACATCATTCAAAAGATATTGTTGTCTTGAGCTTAGATTTGAAAAGATATTTTACCTGTGATCTTTTTTCGTTAAGTTATGGGGGTATAAAGATCGCCATTTTGGCCAATTTGAGACAATTAACGCGCGATATATTTCGCGCTATTAACGCGTAAGCGGAGAGTTAATCCGTCTTAGAAATCATTCCAAACTGGTTGAAGGAAGCTTTATTCGCCAAAATTGATGTGTTACATAGAGCGAAATTTATCCTTTTGTTGTTTTTTTCTGGCATGTGGGGTGATTATTTTCACAAAAAAATCTCAAATTTAGAAAAAAAAATCATATTAATTTCGTTTAATTTTTTAATGTTATTACTGCTCCATAATTTTTGAAAGGCAAACGGACCATTCAAAACTTTGCCTTGATACAAGCAGTCTTATTATTATATACGCATGTGTAACATTCGCCCAGACATTACTTAGTGACGGAGCGTAGGAAAAGTCCCTATTGACGTCTGGCTGTTGTCAGTTACCTTAATCCCACTCGTTTTTAACCGTCTTGACCTAGCCAGTTGTACTTCTGGTCTGTTTACGGGCTAACTTTCAATTACCACTTTTAGGCCATCAGCTAAACTACTTTTGATCAGCTTTCGTTTACATGCAACAATAACCTCATACATGGGTCTCGGATCGCCAGACTACGTGATTACTACTAAAACGCGGCTAGCAAACCACAGTTATATATGTTTTTACTGACAGTTATGTACTAGATTCATGATAGATGGATTGACTCTTTGTTCGACTTTAAGTGCTCGTGCTCTGAAATACTAAGTTAATATCGCATTAAATTAAATGCGTTCAGGGCATTACAGCAGCTAAAATATCGTTTATGTTTGTCAAAAGTCTCTGGGCACCGGGCCTCAAATTCCGACCTTTTCTAGAGATAACGTTTTTATCTCCCAATTTCTGTGCTCGGGAGCGTTTGCATCCGTCCCGAACGTCCCACTAGACCTTCCTTACCCATTGTTTCTTCCTGATAAGCACCTTATCGTATCCTCGTGTTACTATAAGAGGTTTCATTCTTCTATTTTTCTCTCTTTTTTGGAATTTTTTCTGCCTTGCAATTGGCTGTTCTGTTTTACTGTATATTTCGCGTCAAAAGGGCCGTTTTTGGTTTTTATCAGAAATGTTCCAGTCCAAATCGAAATTTTGAAAATTCAAAATTCTGGAACATTCTGAGCCTCCTTTTCACTGAAATTTGATAATAACGCCTTCAATGCTGTTTTCGGCGTGCGTCGGAAGAATTGACTGTGCCATCCGGGGGAATGGCACAATGTTATATAGTTGCATCTATAGTCCTGTGCAATTACATTGGTGCAGATTTTTTAATATTTTTTGTTCATTTTCTCTCTACAATTTAATTTCTAATTGGCAATTAGATTGCGTTCAATTTCGAAACGAGATAAATGCGTTAAATTAAAACGACTGCATTAATTTTTTGTTTGTGCTGCCAGTGGTGGATGCAGAATTTTTTCGGGGAAGGGCGGATTTTCAATAAAACTTCCCAAATTTTGTCGACCTTTTTTTCAGGTGCCAAATAGATTTTCTTAGCTCTCTCAAAGCGCTATAAAGACTCCATTTCGACCAAATTTTCTGGGTCGCAGGTAATTTTTTGAAAAAAAACAGTCCCGAAAAGAATTTTTTAGCAGTTTTTGAAAATTTTTGACCCCTTCAATCCGCTACTTAGTGCTGAAGTCAGGACTGATGGCGCTGTTTTGTTTCTATTTCTGCAAAGAGAACTATAGGGGTCAGTTTATCAATCACGTGTGCGACTAGTTAATGTAGAAATCTAATTGGACTTGTGTTGGCTTGCGTAAGGAATGTGAATTTTGCCTCTGAGTAAAATTTTTTTTTGGTATTTCTTTTATTTACAATTTTTTACCGACCATTGACTTTGTTTCCAGGTGTGTTTTAGTTTTCGGACAGGACTCAGTGATATATCATTCGAAAGGGTTGAGTAATATTGTATATTAAAGCCCTTTCAGTCGTGATTCGAAACACATTAAAAATTCCCAAAAGTTTCTAGTGTCGAGAAAAACCGGTTGGAAATTTTTTTGATTTTGCGTCTTATTGCGAGCGAGATGTCTTAGTTTAATTGCTTGAAAGCTTTTAATGGCTTAATTTAGAATGTAAAATTTAGTTTTACTCGAGTAACGTTAGTTTACATTGAGTTTCTTAGCGCCTTTTTGGAATCAAAATCTCACTAACTCAAAAAACTGCAAACAATTTTGAAAAAATTTTAGACATTTTTCATTTTGTTTTGTTTTTCTAGTAATTTTTCTACAAAATTGTTTTTCAATTTACTGATTTTACTATGAGTATAAGTGTCGAATATTCCTTTGATCACACCACGCCGAAAAAAACGACAATAAATTGAAAAAAAAACGTTCTTAAATTTTTTTATGATTGTGGTCGGAACATTCTCTGCTACTTGCACAGTAACCGGCTATCCTTGTTTTATTTGAAAATTTTATAATTAGTCTTGGCAATTTTTAGATCAGGTTTTAATAAACTTAACAAATTAGATAGAAGCAAATTTTTTTCATATTTCCAATTACACGTATTTCACCTCTTCAACCAGTTTTAATCAAGTTTTTCCAGCCTAACTATATACAAAGGTAGGATTTGATCCTTTTTTGTCACCTCAACCAAAGTTGGATTATCAACATCGTCCACATACGAATCGATAAGTGTTGACTCAATTTCGTCCGTTTTTTGACATCGTGATTGCTCAAATTTAACTGTTTTGCCCGCGCATACCAAAACAACGACAATCGCGTAGAAATTGTAGTCAATAGAATTGTTGGTGCTGCTTTCTGGAGGCACCAATTTTGTAGTCAATTGGGCGCCCTTTTTGATGCACTCGGCTACAGCTTCATGATAGCTGCTTTCATTGTGTTTCAAAACTGGCACTTCCTTCAGGAGAATAGTTTCGTTCAGATTTTTGAGCTGTCGTGTTTCTAAAATTTTGTCTCGACACTTCTGGTAGTTTTCTTTCAACTCGTCATCTTGAAATTTAAAGTACGACCTGAAGTGACCTTCGATTTTGTCAAAGGCTTCTTTTAGTACTTCATACTCTTTGCCACTGTGCATTTCCCGGAATTTTGTGTTTTTCAAAGGCAAAGGGTAACTTCTGAGGAATTTTTCTTCTGTCTCTTCCTGAGAAATGTTTCGAGTGTCCATGCTAGGATTTAAATTAGTTTTCATCGCCTTTTCATCGTCAATGACTTGCGCGATGTCAAAGCCCTGGGAGACTTTAGGCCTCCTCAAAACGCGTCGACTTTTACCGCTTTTCAAGTTCCTCTGCTGAAAGGTTTTGAAGTCGATTTCATGGGCTTTGTCGTCTATTGGGATGGTAATTTTCCCTTCAGGAATTTTCAAAAACTGGTGTTCAATTATCTTAGATG